CCATGCTGCTGGTACGAGAAACTGGCGGCGGAGTTGGGCAAGCTAGGCTATGAGCCGTCTATGTCCGACCCCGCACTATTCGTCAAGCGCGGGTCCGACGGCTCAATCTATGTGCTCGTGCACGTTGACGACATGCTGGTGGCGGCACACAACCTGCAATTGGTCGCGGCCGCCAAGGCGGCCATAGCTGGTTGCTTCGCAGTACGAGACCTTGGAGAGGCGCGCTACTACCTCGGCATGGACATCATCCAGGACCGCCGCAAACGCAGCATCATGCTTACGCAGCACAGTGCTGGGCATCACTTAGATCGCCAGAGGAGGAGTGCTGAGGGCTTTGAGGATCGGCCTCAGTTAATTCCTTTTTTCCAAACGCCAAAATGGCCTGTTTATTACTTTTAAGGAATATATTACTTTAAAAAAAGACACTGAGCTGAGTACCGGCCATAGAGGGCTGTCCTTGCTGCTGTGAATTAATGCGAAAAACGATAGTCTTCAAACCGGTAACCAGCCCCGGTTACTGCCCAGTAACGATCAACCTGGTAACCCAATCGTAACCACCCCCATTAACGACCCCCGGTAACCATCCACCTGGTAACCGGTCTCCGCGTACCCCATTAACGGCCACAATTGCCCGATAACCGGGCAAGTCTATGTGGGGCTTAAGCCCAATCCAAGACAAGGTTGACATGTTGCAATTCGGCAGTTTTTTTCACAGCATGCTTCGATATAGGGCATTTTGTAATTAATTTTGTTGGCTTCTATTTAAGCTGTTGCGACAAGCCAATTCAGAGATTTTTGGCCTTGATTTGCGAAGCATGCACGGCGAATGATGGCTGCAGCTTGCAGCAGCGCGCTGGTGTTGCGGATTAACGGCCAGAATTTCGATATACCTTCAAAATCGGCGAACATTCCCTTGGCGGCGTTCATCAAAGCGGCGACATCGTTCACGGTGCTGTTCCTGTATCGACCCGTGCCTTCAGCCGAACGCGCTGTCATGTTTAAGAAACTGATGTGACGAATTATGTTATTTGAGGTGTTAATTATGCATTTACATTTACCTTGTAAGCGGTGGCATGGATATTAATTCGCTTACATTGGAGCCGGAACGGCTCGTGTTTACTAATTGGTTGGCTTCAACGGGATTGTAATTTTTGCGTTGATATGTACTTCACATGTATTGCGCACTCTCTCAACCGACCGCAGAGTGTAAGAGATGCGTGCGGCGAAGGTGGCTGCGGGGCTTGCACAGTCGCAATTGAGGAGGAGCGCGATGGTGGGCCTAATAATGAGCAGAGACCCCCGGCTAAGTTGGCCTGCCTTTCCTTCATATCTTTACATATTTTCCGAACTAACTTTTTATATGTGCACCGTGTTTCTCTATGCACGCTCAGCAACTGCCTCGTCACGATTAACTCAACCCTTAGCTTCACCCTCCTCACCTTGGCTGCTAAACAAATTCACCTCTGGGATGTTCGTCTCTGGCTGCTCCTGTTACCGAATTTTACACGCGCTCATGCAGCCGAGCCCTGCATTTATTTCCAATCCCCATAATCCCGACCCCCCGTGTTGCCTCCGATCGAGTCCACGGTATCCTCAACCCTGCATCCTTACTTCTAGCGCATCAGTCTTTCCTTGGAATCAGCTTTACTCGCTCGTGGTTCGTCTTTCCCACCCTCTGCTTCCATTCTCGTTTCCAACATCCCCACGCTACCCCCTTCCCTCCACATTTTCTCTGCTTCTCTGCTCGCGTTCCTACATTCCTGGTGTCGCACATGCCCCCAGGCCATCCCCACTTGCGCACCCTCAACTCCTGCCTTGCACCCGTCTACTCGGTGCTGGGCCGCTCCGTGATCACCGCGGAGGGCCTTCCAGCAGCAGAGCCGTACGGCACGTCGCTGGTAGCAGGTACGGCGATGTATGCGTGTGGAACACATCGTGCCGTGGTCGCGTGCTGCTCACGGATACGGCTGTGTGTGGTGCTTGGCTGCTCACCAGGGGGGTTTGCACTGTGTGTGTGTGTATGTGTGTGTTTGTGTGTTGTATGTGTGTGTGAAGTGTGTGTGTGTGTGTGAAGTGTGTGTGTGTGTGAAGTGTGTGTGTGTGTATGTGTGTGTGCGTGTGCGTGTGTGTGTGTGTGTTTTACCGTCTGGAGCTGCGTTATCCTCCAACATGTAACGGGCGCATACGAGCCCCGCTGCTGAGGGGGCCCAAGGGCCAGGGGGCCGAAGACTGTCCCAACTGGAGCACGGCTGGTGCGGCTTGCTCACAGCGGGGTTGTGTTGCCTATATAGGACATTGCACCGGTTGCTCACGCGTTTCAGATAAGGTTGTCACCCTAAGGCAGGCTGTCCAGGATGGGCAGCGTCTTTCACATCTTTTACCCCTATTGTGCACTCACCCCCCTCAGGGCGTCTGTCCGAGTTCCATGCGTCCCAGTGCGGGTACTGCACTCCTGGGTTCACGGTCGCATGTCACGCAGCACTGCACAACGCAGCTGCTGCTGCCGCTGATGGTGGTGCCGATGCCACCGCCACGCCAGCTACTCCGGATGACGGCTCGCTGCTGCGGGCGCTGGATGGCAACCTGTGCCGGTGCACGGGCTACCGACCCATTGTGGCGGCATGCAGGGTGGGTGCCTGAGGGGATGGAGGTTGGAGGTGGTGTCCGCATGTGTAGGCGTGTGTCGGGGAGGGCGGAGGACCCGCGGGTCGTTTGGACAGCCTGGCGCGTGGCTCCGATACACCCGTCTTCCCTTCCCATGTGCTACAAGGTGGTCCAAAATGGCATCAGACCCTTCGTGCATTGACAGTAATGTCAAGAGCAGCCGCATAAGAACGTAACACTCCGTACAACCGTTTCTTTGGTTGCCTTTGGTGGTCTTGTAGAGCCTGGCAGCGGAGGTGACGGACATCGAGGACCTGTGCCGCCGCCGTACGACAGGCGCTACTGCGGCTGGATCCATCTCACCAGTCGCTGCTACCGCCTGCGGCAGCGGCACTGCCGACGTAACCAGCAGTGGCAGTAGCGGCAGTAGTGGCAGTTGCGGGGACTCCTCCTGTACGGCGATCTCCCTGGGATCTCGCCAGGTGCTCAAGGTAGGAGGGAGGGGGGTAAGGGGGTAAGGACAGGGGTGAGGGAGCTTCAGTAGCTCGGTATTGGAGTACACTGCCTTTTGCTCCGGCAGCATGGCATCTGCTCGCCGTGCTTGCTGGTGCGGAGTTGTCTTGTTGAAGGGCTGTGGCCTCGGGCGAGCGAGAACCTAGGTCACCATCATTAGAGTCTCCCATAGACACACATACATACAAACATATATTTCTTTCACGTGTAGCTGGTGCCGCCTCACCGCCTTCACCGCAGGTACCCCGCTCCCTGGAGCAGCTGGTTTCGGAGGCAGGCCGCCTGGCAGCAGCCGCAGCAGGAGGGTCAACCCCCTCCTGGCGGCTGGTGGCGGGCCACACGGGGCACGGGGTGTTCAAGGACTGGCCGCTGGAGGAGGAGGTGCTGGTGGCGGTGGCGGAGGTGCGGACAGGGGCCGGGGAGGGAGGGGAGGGGAAAGACGCAAAGAGACACAAGAGGCGGGGAGGCAGCTCTGGCGGGGGCCGTTGTCGAGCTGAGTTGTACATATGTGTCGTACTGAGGAAATGTCGTACCGCTAATATACGGACATGATGCTTCATGAACCATGAGCCGTTTGCTGCACACGCTCGATGTATGGACTGGATGTAATCGACTGGCAGGAAGGCGCTCCCTTTCATCAGGTGGGAAGCATACGGCAGCGGTCGCATGGCCCGCGCAGGTTCCGGAGCTGCAGCGCTTGGAGGTCGTGGCGGCGAACGATGGCCTTGCGAACTGTGAAGAAGCAACGTCGGCGAGGGTGAGTGAAGAAAGCGGACATGGAGGCAGGGAAGGCGTGGGGGAGCTGATTCTGCTAGTGGTGGCTATGTGCATCTTGTGCATATCAAAGCTGAATTAAAACCGTCAGGTCTTAGCGACCAAGTTCCAACGACGACCGGATTCCACAAACGGATGCGGGTGGTATGTATATACGGCATATCGCCGTGACAACTATGATAGGGCCCTACCCTACTTCCCTTAGACAAGAAACAGCTGTCCCACTTCGGGGGCCCCCCATGTGGTGCTCCCCAGGAGGTGTCGTACCATCTTCACATCGGCGCCTGTACCACACTGGAGCGGCTGGCTGCCCACCTGGCGCATAGGGCCCAGGGGGTTGCAGCGGAGGAAGAGGTAGCAGTAGCGGCGGTGGCACCTGGGGGAACCGGGGCCGACAACAACAGCGATGTGGTGGGTACGGCATTCGGTGTACGGCAGTGGGCGGCGGAGACGTCGGCCCATTTGTACCGTATCGCCGGCCGGCACGTGCGGAACTCCGCCACGGTGAGTGGCCCCCTGGTTCCCTTGTCCCTGGGGCTTCGGAGCGCGTAAGCAGAGCGCCCGGTTTGAGTTCAACTGATAGATTGCTTGACCTGGTTGTCGGTTACGTGGTTGGTTGGTTGGTTCGTTGGTTGCAGGTTGGAGGCAACTTGGTGCTCGCCCGCGAGCGCTCCCTGCCGAGTGACGTCGCAACTCTGTTGGCTGCGGCCGGTAAGTTCGTTACCTCGGTAGTTAGGTTGCTTGCTCTTTTCGAATGCTCCTGCAGCAACGGCCGACTACTTGCTAACTGTGCTTTAGGGGCTCGTTCCTGCCGGGAAACGCTGACAATTTATCTGTGACCATTAACTGCCAACCATCAGCCGTCTTAGTCGATGAGGGATAACTGCCAAGACCGGATCACAGGATCCATCCCCAGCCGTCTGCTCCCGGTCCCGGTCCTGCAGGGTCGGAAGTGGAGCTGGTGGTGGTGTCATCTGACCCAGAGACCCACGGGTCCGTCCGCCGCGCTGACCTGCTGGAGTTCGTCACCGGTGCTGCGCCCTCCCTACCGCCTGGCGCCTCGTACATCCTGACGGCGGTGCGTGTGCCGCTGCCGCCAGCCGACCCACGGGTCAGATTCTGGAGCCATCGTATTGCCGAGCGTTACAGCAACGCCGCTGCGGTGGCCAACGCCGCAGTCCTCGTCCGCCTGTCCGCCGCTGAAGAGGCAGGAGGTCCGCGGCCCGTGGTGGAGGAGGTGAGGATCGTGGTGGGTGTCCGTACTCCTGGCGGCGGCGCTTCAGCTCCCGGTGCTCCACATGATTCGGTTTCGGAGCATAACGCCGCTAAGCTGAAGGACGCGACAGTGGTGCTGCTGGACGGCTGGCAGTGCCTGCGCGCGAAGGCGGCGGAGGCGGCGCTCCGGAACCAGGCCGCCACCGCAGCCACCGTAGTGGCTGCACTGGAGGCCCTGGCGGCGATGGACCTGGCGGAGGTGACGGCTGCTGCTAGTGCTACTGCGGCGGCAGGGGGGGATGAAGAGAAGGCAGTAGCCGCAGTGGCCATCGCGCAGGGACTGGTTGCACAGGGGCTTATGGCGTGTCTGGGCCTATCGCCAACGCCGCCGGCTGCGGAGAGTCAAGCGGCGCCGGGAGTGGACGTGATCAAGGCCGCCACCGGTGTGGAAAACGGCGACGGCGATGGAGGTGCTGACTGTGTCCACGGCGCCGCCAAGGTTGCCGTACACGGAGGTGTCAACGGCGACGCAGATGGCGCTGCTGAAGCAGCCGTCATCATTAGCGCCAACGGACACGGCATAACGGCACATTCGCGACCGGATCAGCAGCCGCCGCAGCAGCAGCCCCAGTGCTCGTCCAAGTCGTCACCGCCACCGCGCCGCATGCCATCCCCACCCTTGGTGGAGGGTCGCCAGTTCCTGACTGATGCGGTTCCGGAGCTGCTTCCAGTGACTCAGGCCGTACCCAAACTGGGGTCCAAGTTGCAGGTGAGACATGTAGGAGCTCCTGATGCCTGCGATGTAGGAGCCCGCTACTACCGGCCCTGCTGTGGCAGCAGACGCCACCCTTCATGTCCTGCGGTTCCCATCCAACCGCTAACCGCTAACTGCATAACCACTAACTCCACTGTCTCCGTCCAGGCGTCCGGCACGGCGCTGTACACCGAGGACGTGCCCGTACACCGGGATGCGCTGTACGGCGCGTTCGTACTATCGGCCCGCGCTTGTGGACGGCTGGCGGGTATCGACGCTTCTCCCGCTGTGTCCCTTCCGGGGGTGGTTCGCTTCCTGGGTGCCTCCGACCTGGCCGGGGTGGGTCCAGGGGGGGCGCTCAACGCTTGCGAGAAGCCTCCCGTGGGGGGCGGAGCTGCGGAGAAGACGTTCTTGGAGGTGGGCGAAAAGTGCGAGTTCGCTGGCCAGCTGGTGGGCGTCGTACTGGGAGATAGGTACGGAGGTGTACGGAGCAGCGTTTTGGCTTTGAATGGGCGCTTAGACTTGTGTGTCGAATTTACATGGAAGCTCCAGTCGTACACTTGAAACTCTGTTCGCATTCGATTGTATGAATGGTTGTTTAAGTTTGTTGCTGAGTTTACAAAGATGGCATCCATGCGTATGTGCTGTAACTTACGTGGCAACACGTGAACGTAGTACTGCATGTATGTCCGTGCATGCGCAGTACATTTTTGCAGTTGAACGTACGTTGAGTCACCTGCATCCTTGCGGTCCTTATCGCGGCCTTTCTCCCGGTGATCTGGACAGCCACGTGGCTGCGCAACGCGGCGCCAAGGCCGTACACTTAATGTACGACACATCGACTGATGGCGACGCACCGCTGCTTTCGATTGCGGATGCCGTACGTGCGCGATCTTTTTACCAGCTTCCAGATGTGCTTCCCTCCTTACTAAGCGGCAATACATACGGCGACAAGAACAGCGTTTTGTCAAAAGGCGGGTCCGACGTCGGCGAAGTTCTGTCGACGGCAGCTGCGCCGGCGGCGGCGGCGCTAACTGCAGCAGCGCTTGGCGGCGGCGAGCGTGACGGATCAGACGCCATCGCAGGTGTGCCGGGCTCGGCGTCTCCACCGCCGCGGCCTACCACTATGAGTGTTGTTTCTGGCCGCTACGTCACCCCTTCCCAGCTTCACTTTTACATGGAGACTCAGAGCGCGGTGGCCTGGCCCGACGAGGACGGCTGTGTGGTGGTGCACAGCTCGTGCCAGGGACCGGATTTCGTACAGGTAAGTGTATAATGGGGAGTGTGGGACCAGCCACCCGGCCCCTTACCACCCGGCCCCTTACCACCCCGCCCCTTACCACCCCGGCCCTCGTCGACTTTTTGCGGTTCCCCTTTCCAGGGTGGAGTGTCCGCTGCACTTCAGCTGCCCCTGAACAAGGTGCTGGTGCGGTGCAGGAGGGTGGGGGGAGGATTCGGAGGGAAGCTCACCTTCGCACGTCGAGTCGCCGTCGTGGCGGCGGTCGCGGCCGTCGCCACCGGTCGCCAAGTCCGGTAAGGTCGAAGCTTTGATGGCTCCATGTGTGTTACGGTTCGAGCTTGCTTGCCGGACGAATCGACTCCGGTAACCTCCCGTCACCTCTCGTGTCCCCTACCCCCTCTTGTCGTACGTCACGTCAGGATCTCAGTGCCTCGCAATACTGACGCAGTAATGTGGGGCGGCCGCTGCGAGACAGATGTGTCGTACGTTGCCGTACTAGATGATTGCCCGGCGGAAGACGGCGATCCCGACGCCAGCAGCGGCAACGTCAACGGCCAGCAGAATCAGACGTCTTCACCTCAGCAGCGGCGAGCGCCACCTCGCTTTCGTGCCCTGGACATCCACGCGGTGATGATGGGAGGCGCCCAGAGGGACATCAGCTTCATAGATGCCATGGGTATGATCGCGGCAGTGGATAGCGTGTACGACATACCCGCTTTCAGGTGCAGTACAGTCGCGGTGGCTTGAGGGTTGAGCAGAGGCAGGAGTGTTCAGGATTAAAATGCAGCGTGTTGTGTGGTGGGGACTTCGGGATATTGGAGTGAATTCGGGATTAAATTTGGGCTTCTTGAGCACGATGATGACAGACCGGGGTGGTGTCATGCGCCTCAATCTGACCCATGGATCATTAATTGGGGATTTGTCTGCCGAACCACACCGCATGTCGGGAGCTGGCCGACGTAGGCCGTATCCGACCCATGGGTCGCAATGTCGCTGTTCTTTATCTCCAAATGAGCAGTCAGGGCAGCAAAACAGGTCGGGGGCAGAAGTGTCTTGGAATTCTGGAACTGCACCCAACCCAGCCCTACCGCGTCGGATACCTCCGGCCCATCACCTCGAGCCATGCCCATCCAACCTGTTTCCATGCCTCCTCGGCTTATGTGGCTTTGTTGATGTGTACGAGGGTACCGTATCTCATGCAGGCTGGAGGTTGCATTGGCGCGCTGTAACCTGCCACCCCGTACGGCAGTACGGGGCCCCGGTGACATCAATGCCACCATGGTCATTGAGCAGGTAAGACGAGTTGCCGCGACATATGCATACATGGGCGGGCATCCGTAAAGCATACGATTATACGGCATGATATCGGCACGATCTGGGTGGCGGCGATCGGAACCTTTTGTTGTGGTGTTGCACAGGGTGTCAAGAGCCATTGTGTGTACGGCGCAGTGTAGTACAGACAAAGTGCATCAACTGGCCACCGATCCGTTCCGCGATTCCACAAAGTTGGATTTCCTTGGATTCACACGGGTTTTGGATTCTGGATCCTCCAGATCATGGAGCACGTGGCGGCCGAGCTGAAGGTGGATCCAGAGGCCTTACGTGAGGCCAACTTCCTCAAGGCGCCGCCGCCGCCACCGCCGCCATCACCAGAGCCGGACTGTGCGAATGACGTGGCCACTGCCCCCTGTCAAGGAGTGGCGGCAGCGGCGCCGATGGAGCCCGTCGTCACGACCGCGTTAGGCAAGACCATCCCGCTGCGGCAGTACACCCTGCCGTACATGTGGTCGCGGCTGCAGCGGGTGGCAGACTGGGAACGAATCAAGGTACGGCGTCGTGGCTCTTCTTGGCCCCTTTCCCTGTTGACCAGGCCCCTCCCTCTCCCGCTGCACATACTGACACCCACACAGGCGGCTGTTGAGTCGTTCAATGCGACCAGCCCCTGGCGCAAACGGGGCGTGGCCATGATACCCACAAGGCGAGTCGGGGGAGCGGCCCAGGGGTGCGTGTGTGAGGGCTCGCAAAGCACAGTATTGCCTTTAACCGTGTGAGGAAAAGGTTCGGAAACATCCGCTACCGTCAAAATCCAAAGTCTGATCCACCTGAAACCTGACAGAAAGCCCCCACATGCTGAGCAGTTCAAACCGTGTGGGGGGAGAGCTCTGGACGTGTGGAAGCAGCTGGGCCGCCAGGATGCAAGGGGCGACTTGACGCAAGGGGTGACTGACCCCTTCAAAGGCCCTAATGCCCTGCACGAATTTGCCGTAGATATCTGGTACTTGTATCGCACGTCTGCGTCGTACAAGTTGACCGTATAATGCCGTACTCGCCTTCGCAGGTACACTATGTATCGCGGCAAAAAGCCGGCCTACGTGAGCCTGCTCCAGGACGGTACGGTGCAGGTGGCTTGTCACGGCGTGGAGATGGGCCAGGGGCTGTGGACCAAGGTGGCGCAGGTGGGGGCGCCGGGGGAGCCCCAGGGAGGCACCGTGTGTGTATTGGGGGTGCGTGGGTTTCCCTGTTGCCTCGCCACCTGGCCGACCCGCCCACAGATTGGCACGCCCGACCCAGTAACCCCCCCTCCCCCCCCTTCCCCCTCCCCCTCCCTGCACGTGCAGGTGGCGGCTCTGACTCTGTCCGAGGTGCTGCCCCACTCTCGTCGGCCGCTGGACATCAGCTTCATCAGGTGAGCAGCCGAGCATGGGAGCGTGTAACCCTTTCAGACCACCTGCGCAAGCATGCATTTTCGCCCTCACTCATTCACTCACTCCGGGCCCCCGGCACGGGCTCCCTCTTGCCCCGCCGGCCCCCTCCCTTCAGGATCTGCGACAATAGCACCGAGCTGCTGCCACACAGCGGGGTGACCGGCGCGTCCACCACAAGCGAGATTGCATGTGCGGCTGTACGGCTGGCGTGTCTGCAGCTGCTCAAGAACCTTCGGGTAGGGTGGGTGGGGTGGCGCCGGGGAGGGTTTGGGGTGCTGTTCAGCAGGACTTAATACGCAGCTAGTAATGTCGTGCCTGTGTCGTACCACACGCCATGTTGCACTACACCCTGTGTTGTTGCGGCTGTCTGCTGCAGGAGTTTGCCCTCCCCAAGATGGCTGGAAGGGAGGACTTCGGGCTGCGGGTGCGTGGGTATGTGGTGGGCGTGGCGGGGTAATTGGGAGGAACGGCGCACGGTCAGCTACGGAACGGAATGAAACGCACCAGAGCAGCCACTTGTTTTGTACCGTGGCCTACCGTACTGAGTATGTTGTACTCCTTGCGATGTCGTACACGTCACAAATTTGCAATCGTTACCTGTTGGTGTTGCAGGACTTGGTGGCGGCGGTCTCAACTCCAATGGGTGTCATGGTACGGCAGGAAGTGTACGGCATTGGGCGAGAGCGGGGTTTTACCCGGGAGGCTCTGGGGTCCATGGCGTATTGTTACGGCAGGTGGAGGGTGAGGGGCTGAGAAACGGACAGACGGATAGGATTGCGCCAACTGCTGCTGCAGACGCGAGGCAAGGAGGAGTAGGTTCGCATGTCTTGCAAGGTGACTGTACGTCTGGTCAATCTCACTTCCTCCTCGGCCGCGTCTGTCCGCCGTTGCCCTCTGCCAGGCCCCCCTGTCTGCCTTCGCCTGGGGCGGTCAGTCGGACCTTCCGGAGAGCTCCAGGGGGGTTGCGGTCGGTCCCGTGGCCCCGCAGTACCACGTGATGGGGGTGGCTCTGGGGGTGGTGGAGGTGAGGAGGGGAACCGGGGTAAAGGATGGAGGTGGGGGGGTGACTGCTGCTGGTGGACTAGGGCCCGATTTGTCCTTGTGCGAGTCATCAATATTCTGTTCCCCCCCTGGAGTGGTCGTATCAGGTCTGTGCGCCTCTGTCTCTCTCATCCCTCTGAAAGTGTCCCACTGTTGCGGGATTAGAGGGGTCTGGGAGACTGGGACTCGCAAAGGAACTGTCTCCTGGCATTGCCGCCTGTCTGTGCGTTTCGAAAATCATCTGGGAATGTTTTTACCGCTTAGCAGCCGCTTTCCTCTCAGCCACTCACTTCCTCTCCTCCCCAGCTCTCCGCCTTTCACCCCACACACATAAAACGCTTTCTTAAAACGTTCCTTCACCTCCGACAGGTGGATATCCTTACGGGTGATCGTCGAGTGCTCCGCTCCGATATCATGTTCGATCTGGGTCGCCCGGTGAACCCCGCCGTGGACCTGGGCCAGGTGGAGGGAGCGTTCGTACAGGGCTTGGGCATGATGCTGCAGGAAGAGGTCACGTACGACAGTACGACTGGTGCGCTCGTACAGAACAGCACCTGGAACTACAAGCCGCCGTCGGTGTCCTGTGTCCCGCAGCAGCTCAATGTGCACATGCTGAATGACGCACCGCTGGCGTCGGAGGTGAGAAGGGGCTTTGGCAGGCTGGCATTTGGCAAGGTAGGCCGCTCATATGGCCCCATAATACACCCACCATCGACGTCAACGAAATTGCAACGAAGCACCGTCGGTGGCGGGCGGTGACCTTCCTTTTCTGCGTCCTTCCATTTTGCCTGGTTGCGGCCCCGCTGCCTGCTCGGAACACACTGCGTCGTGTACACTACGATGCATTTCACTCGTCCAACCCCGTACCTGCCTTACTTGGTACAGGGTCCAGTAAGCTCCAAGGCGTGTGGAGAGCCGCCCTTGCTACTGTCGGCGGTGGTCCTGGCAGCATTACAGAGAGCCACTGCGGCCGCTCGGACGGCAACGAGCACCTCTGTAGGCAGCACCAGCAACGACGGCGACGGGAGTGGCGCTGGCCAAGTGATGAAGGGCAGTGGTGGTGGCAGCGCGCGAAGTGGGTTCGTTCCCCTGCTTGCCCCCGCCACCGTGGAGAGGGTTCGTGTGATGTGCGGCAGGGAGGGAGCTGCGGAAATCATCAAGAGAAACCTAACCAACGGATGAACTCACAGCTGCACACGTTATGGCGCTGCTATTTACCCGGTACCATCCAGCATGTACGTGTGCGTAGAGCTGCACAATTCCAACACGACTTGAGAATATAGTTTGTTGTGGCAATGCGATGGCCTTGTGTATATGGCACACTGTGGATGTATATGTGCAATTGTACGTGGAGCATCTGGAACTCATAACTCTGGCAACTGTACGAGCGGCTTCAAGTCTGTCGGTTATGGGGGCGAAACATCATAGGATTGTGTGTAAGACGAAGGGCCCTTACGACGAGAACTGGCAAATAAGATTGCAAACTATCCGAAGTTCCGAATAAGCTCGGTTGAGATTACCGGAATGTCCGTTTGGGGTTGTAGCTATCCTTGTTGGCAATCGATAGGACGCCAGCAATCGGTAGGACGCCAGAGAATTTCAGGAGATGCAAATGTATGACTTGCGGCTGAATATTATACAGCGAGCCATGAACGTGCGGGCACAGAAACGTCAATATTTGTTTATTGCGCAGAACAATCAAGCTCATGCAAGTGTTCGCTCTAGACAATATTTCAACAAAACTAACGCGATTACATGTTCCACACCAACAACGGTGAAGCCTAGGATGCAAGTTAAGCTCCTGGAATTATACGATGACCCGCACAGCGAGTTTAGTGCCAAGGTCAAGGTCGCCCTTTTTGCAAAAGGTCTGTGCTTTACACCCCTGGCTGTGCCGTGTGGCAGCACGCGGAGCCAGGAGTTCCTGGCAGTTAACCCGCTTGGCAAGATTCCTGTCCTCTGCGTCAACTTCGAGGACGGGCGTCGGGAGGTGCGAGATTTTGCAATATCTCATACATTTCTTCGGTTTATCCGGCCTAGATCGCTATTTCACTTGGTAGGAAGACCTGTGTAGCTGTTGGTGCGGGGATGGATGACTAACAACAAGTGTTCCTGCCGGCAGGTTCACTTGACGGCTGTCTTTGGTTAGCAGCGCTGGCTGAGGTCCTAACCCTTCTCCGCTTCTGCTCCCTTCGCCTTTGTCCCCCCCGGTCCAGCTCCGAATGGCGCTCCTGTTCCCCTTCCTCTGCTTCTTTTGCTCACCCTCCTCCGTCGCTCCTGGCTGAGGTGCCTTCCAGGTGGTCCTGGAGAGCGAGGTGATCCTGGAGTACCTGGAGGATCAGTTCCCCAATCCGCCACTGCTGCCAGCCGATCCCCTGGAGCGAAGCAAGGTATCGGCGCCACACACAGCACGCGGGACATGCCCCCGCTCCTAGCTGCACTCCTAGACGCCATCATAAGCCAAGACCCAGCTACAGTCAGGCCACTCAACGCCCTCCAGCCACAAGCGCCGGCAGCAGTATCTTCATCTTCTCATCTGGGTCAATCGCGTAGGGTGCCCCACAATGTTCCCTCCCTAAACCGTACCCTCAGGCCCGCCTCATCTCCCGCTTCCACGACTTGTATCTGGAGCCCGCACTGAGGCGGCTGTATCCCCAGGTGGCGCCCTCGGCGCGATCAGAGCAAGTGGTGCAGGTGCGGTCCCCGGATTAGGGGTCAGTTGGGCATTGGTGAGGGCGAGGGTCGATGGGACGGTGGGTCGTCGCTTTTGTAGCTGAGCCTCCCTCAAACCTGTCCCGTCGTAGACCCTGACTTTTGCGTGAAGACTAGCTGTTCGTTACCGCCATCTAACGTCCGGCGCCTCTTTCCTGACCCGGCTTTGAAGTACTTACTATTCCCCCAAGTCGCTGCTCACATTCCCCACATCACCTCATGGTCTGCAGGAGGCAGCCGCTGCTTTCCTAGAGCGCCTAGCGGAGTTGGAGACCCTGCTGCCACCGCCCTCCTCCCCTCTTGAGTCCGCCGCCACCGCTACCGCCGCGTCCTCCACCAGCCGCTCCTCCTCCTCCTCCACACTGGCTCTGGGTGGCGCCCAGCTGTCGCTAGCTGACTGCGCCTACCCCGCACTGCTGCTGTACGCGGAGCTCATCCTGCCGGCGCTGGGGCTGCCACCGCTGCGGTACGACGCGCTAGGGCTGACGCGGCTGGGTCGCTGGCGAGAGGCACTGTGGGCGCATCCGGCGGTGGCGAAGGTGTTGCAGGAGCTGCGGCCTGCAGCAGAGGAGTGGCTGCAAAGGAAGCTGAGAAGCTGAGGAAGAGGGAAAGGAGGAGGAGGGTGGACGAGGGAGCGGGATGCCCGAAAAGAGGGTGCAGCCTTATATCTCAGGCGCACATCGCAGGCGGTTTGTTGTTAGCACGGTTCATGAGGATGGCTCGCGTGTCAGGTGCCCACCATGCTTTATGGCTTGCCTGTACTTTTATGTGCGTGGGTTATGCATGTACGTATGTACGTAAGCGTGCGCACACGTGTGCGATGTCAGGTACGGTCGCTCGGCAAGAGGCTGCATGTTTGCGTGACTGGCGCGCCTCCTGTTCTATACAGACGTCAAATGAGATCTGAAGTAGTAGCTTCCGTGTCACTTACGGACCCAGTTCTTAGTTTTCGTTACGCTGTACAACAAAATAGATACCGCACGACCCAAACGGCGTTGATGTTCCTATCACATCGAGAGTATCTAGAGCCAAGGCATGGACTTACCCCGCCCGACCAGCCTCCCTATCGCCGCTTCGTAACCCCACCGCCACCAACTCCGCTACCACGGCCACGTACTCCCAAACCAGCACCACGGCCACCGCCACCACCACCACCGGCTCCTCCCCTGCGACCTCCGTCCGTTTTCCCTGGACCATCCCCACCGCCGACAACCGTCCCTGGAGCCACCACACCACCCAACAACAACTCCAGGGACGCTGCCAACGAACCGCCGACGACACCAGCGGGCGCCCCTGCCGTTGCTCTTGCAGCAGCAGCGGCGCTGCTTCGGAGGCCTGACCGGCCCCCACCGCCTCCGACACCCCCGCCACGCGCCGCACCCTTTCCTCTGTCGCCCCTGGCCTTTCCGCTGGCCTGCAGGATAATGCCCAGTAAGGGATCATCCACCCCCGCGGCTGCATCCGCGCCGCCAGCGGCAGGCCCCGGGTAAGTCATCGTCCGTGAAGTGCCGCCGTTGCCACCTCCGGAGGGGCCACCGGAACTACCGCCGTTGCATACAATCGACTCCGGAGGAAGCACCGGCGGTGGTTTTGTCGGCGGAGGCGGCTGCGTTGCAACAACAGGCAGAGGTTGCGCTGGCGGCACGGATAAGAAGGCCGGTTTGGCTTTGGGACCCTGGAAGCTGATAATGGAACCGCGGGTCGCTGTTGGGGGTTGGACAGAAGCTGTTTTTGCTGGTCGGGCGGCGGCGGCAGCAGTGGTGCTGGCTGAGGGCACCGGCAGCAGCGGGGCTTCGGCGGCAGCAGCAGCAGCAGCAGCAGCACCGGCTACGGCGGCGGCTCCCAAGTCCTGTCCATGTCCAACAATTGTCGCCGCACTGACACCGCCGATGGACACTGCTGGTCCCATGGAAGCAGCCGCGGGCGTGCCGTCTGAGCCGTGCACCAGACACGCGTTATCTGCGGGTACCGCCGCTACGGCAAGGTCAGAAGCATCGTCAGCTGCCGCCAGCCTCGTAGAACAGGCCGCCGCCTCCGCCGCCACCGGGGCAGCCACCTGACCATCGCCGCTGGGCTTGGCCTTAGACCCCAGGCCGAGAACAAAATTATGCCGTGTTGCGTACGACACCACGGCGGGCGATGCAGACGGGGCAAGATCTGCAGAACGCACAGGGCGGGAAATGGGCCTTAATTTGGGTCTTAAATTGGGTGTGGTCCGTTCCATCGAGGTCGATCTCAAGCCTTGTCCAGTTGGATGGGATTGAGCGGGGCTGAGGTGGCGTCTTGAATTTGGTCGCGCGGTGTCTGATACGTGTATTGTTGCGCCGAAGTTTTGGGACAAGCTTCAAGATTCGGCCTGCATCCCGCCGCCTCGACACGCGAGCGAGGCGGATGTGGACCAAGACCGACGACTCAGGTGGCATATCGACAGGAAGTGACGCTGTGGACGGCACGAACATGAAAGCTGATTTTCAGCTGTTGGGAAAAGTCCCCATCCCGTAGCCGCTGTCCCAGTCCTTACCATTTGCTGCCTGATGGCGTAACGATGATACGGATGCCGCCGCGCTCGCCGTCGCCGCTACCGTAGGAACTCCGTTCACGCCGCCGCCGCCGCCGCCACTTAGCATCCCAGGTACCGCCGCCGCTGCCGTAACCGAGGCGTCCTCCGGCATCTTTCGCCGTTTGGCGCCTCGGTCTTCGAATACCTGCGGGGAGGGGCCAAGCGGGTAGGCCTTCCAATCCTCAGCACTTGGTGACGCATCCAAGCCAGACACAAAAGCACATCAAGGGATTACGGCTACGGTAAGACGTCGTGCGTTCAACATGTGAAGGAAGCTTAAGAGTCCAGAAAGCGAAAGGGCCTCAGATTCGCACCTGAAGCGGCGCCATGGCCTGTGCGGCGTGAGCCCGCTTGCCACCGCCAGCTAGCGCACCCAGCGACGCTGCCGCCGCCAGCGGCGGCGCCCCCGGCCCCACCGGCTCCTTCGTCGATACCGCTGCCGCACGACCCGTTGGTCGCTTAGCGGACATGAGGTCAAAGAAACTCCGACGGTCCACTCGGATTCCCGTGTCCAGCCCTGCCGCCTCCTTCGCCTTTACCGTTGCCAACCGCCCCGAAACCCCCGAACGCGCGCCACCGCCACCAGCAGCTGGCCCGCGTGCTGGGCCCACGTCGGCTTGCGGTCCCGTCTTCAGCTGCTGGGATCCTTGAACCCCGGTTTCGGGCCGCTGCACCGCCGCCGCAGCGGCGGCGGCGCCGCTGCCTTCCTGCTCATCAAACTGTACAGCAATTAAATACCCATACTGCTCCGAGATTTTGGCGGCGCGCTGCTGCCAGGAAGGCTCCGGCTGGTCGGGGGCGCCACCGCCTCCAGATACCGGCTCCAGATACGGCATGTGTACGTGCTCGTCCCAGCGGCAGCGCACCATTTGCGGCAGGGTCAGGGGCCCCGTCGCACAAGTATCAGTAAGCCTCTGACACGGCGCCATTGCCGGTCTCACTGCAGCTGTTACTGCCGTTCCTGCGGCTGCAGCTGAGGCTGTTTCAGCAGTCGTCGGTAAAGCGTCTCCGACCCTGTCCGCTGGCATGACAGGAGGCCGTCCCTGCTGCTGCTTCTGATGTTCTGCAGTAGCAGGTGTTCGCTGACGCAACATCTCCCTCAGGCTCCGGCTTCGAGTCTGCAATTGCTGCTGCTGCTCTTGCGCCACCACCGAAGGCTGTTGTTTTCCGGCTCCTGCCGCGGCCGAGGGCTTCAAAACCATATCGGCAGTAAAAGACGCCGACTTCACCTGCTTTGGCGCGGTCACCGAAGGCGGTGGCCGCATCGCCATCGCCAGCCCAGGCGGCAGCAGCATTGCAGGGTCAACGCTGTCTGAGGGCATCCCCACCGCCGACGGCGGCAGTAGCGGCACCAGGTCAGCTATCGCGTTGTACGTTCGTACACAGTCTAATAGGAGCTGTAGTGATAAAACCTGGGAAGGCGGTGAGGGACGGAGGTGATGGAAGCCGACGGGTGCGTAGGGAAACAACGAAGGGAGGCGGCTGGGGTGCGGCGGAAGCGGATGAAGACACCCTCTGGCAGTGCAGGCAAGCCGATGGGACGCGGGAAGCACTCAACAGCGCAGCGAGCAACAGGCGGCAAAGGCAGGCTGACAGCGGAGGTAGGGGCAATGGGTAGGCAGGCTGACAGCGGAGGTAGGGGCAATGGGTAGGCAGGCAGGAAAACCATGCTGCCTTGCTGCTCCTGGGCCACATTTCCTGCCCATACCACACCGTCCATACAAATACATACACAGATGTAAGCGCTTGCCTTGATTCGTGCCAACATGGCAGTTGCGGTGGTGGCCAGCGGCACGAAGAAGCTGAGGGCTAGCTGAGAGGCGAGGTGAGCAGCGGCGAGGTGGAGGACGGGCTGCACACCCATAATGAGGGAGGAGCCTGAGGGCAGGGGGAGGGGAGGAGGGGAAAGGGGAACGATAATCCGAGTGTTCGGTGAAAGAAGGAGGTGAGAGGGGAGGAGAGAGAAGCGGGTGGAGTTGCGGGGGACAGCGCCACAAGGGGGACGCAGGCGGGGCGAGGGAACCTGGGGATGGACGCTGGCGGAGCTACAGCGTCGGGTCAAACCAGCGGCAGCTGCCCCCTTGGAGCATGTGTCCTCGTTCCAGATGAAAATGATGATTATCATGTGTGGCCATGGACACTCCTTAAAAACCCCACGTCCGTCACCTCGGCACTCAACCCCAGCATACCTGCAATAAGCTGCTTCAGCACCGCCGCGGCCGCTTCCTTGCACGGCAACCTGAACGACATACGTCCGCCGACGCTGCCACTTGCGGCAGCGGTCCTCGCGTCAGCCTTTCCTCCACCGGCTGCCGCCAGACCGCCCGCAGCGGCCGGTACGGCCGCCCCCAGCTGTAACATGTAGTACAGATCGTCCACAAGGCCCTCCAACCGCAGCTCCCGTAGCTGTGTCAGCGTACGTCGGACCTGTGCAGTATTTCCAGGCGGAAGGATGTCGTACCGACAAGTTTAGCCTTCAGTGACTTTGGAAACGGAGGGCCAGCGATATGGAGGACCGTTTGGAGGACAGTATCTCAAAAGGTTAAATGCACGTCTCACCTCTTTTAGGTAACGCATGAAGTGCGCAACCCTGTGCTGGTGTATGTTTTTGTACAACAGCTTCTCAAACATGGCCACTTCGGACCACAGAGAGGGGGCCTGGAGGCACGCCTGGGGTGAAGTTGGGAGGAGGAAAACATGTGAATCCATGAAAAATCCTGAACATATTGTGCAGAGGTCTGGAAGCCAAGAAACTAAGCCGCAACAGGCAGGGATTTGGCGGCGATGCCGTTTTGGGTTGGGAGCGGCCTTGGATGTATGATGTGGACATTAGCTCGGTACCAAGGTTGTGCCACTGCACGCTGTGTGTGATCTACGGTGGTTGTGATCCCGTGTCTTACTTTTAGCACGGGAATGTTGGCTTGGCGAAAGTGTTGCCTCAGGTCGCCATAACACGACAGCTGGATGGTGCGACGCAGAGGGGCGGGCAAGGCCCATGCCCTATCCTCAGGTGCTCCCGACGCCGCCATATATGGATTACAGGCAATCTATGTGTATGGGGGCTTGTATAGCCGGATGGTTTCTGCCTTACTTGTGTAGCATACTGAGTACACGTTTGTTTGCAACACGATTTGAACAAACACATCTCCGGCCCAACAATAATGCAGCGCGATAATTCATATCCTGTTAACCTGTATGCTAACGCGGTCGGTCGGCTGGTCGGCCCTAGGATGATTATGTACGGCACCGCGGTGCGAACCAAAAATATTGCTGCTTACTTAACGGCTTCAGCGTGCTGGCTGATTTTAGTACTACCCGTTACGTGCGTACAAGAAAGCAGATGATTACCCTAGGGTAGCCTGGCGGTGCCGGACCTCTGTTCACTACGAGCGTGCGGCTGTGTGGTTATATGTTGAGTTACACATAATCCATAATAGGAAAGGCTATGAGGCGATCATTTGTACAAATTTTACCGGTGGCTCCATCGGGAGTGTCATGGTTGGGTCAGCAGCTACTTGGAGCATCATGCTTGCGTTCTGCAGGGGAGGTTTCAACTAGCTATGGAGGTGCCGCTGCGCAGCTTCATGTTCCAGTAAGTACCGGCCACCGGTCACCGATCATCGACTTGCCGGGGTGTTGAAGAATAGCGAAGCTTTGGTCACCTAGATGTGGGGTACTCTCTCCATTTGGAATATTTTTCCTCCCGCGTGTATTGACAGTGCATGCATCCTGCTCGATCGTGGGTAACCAATTTCGCCGCAGACCCTGCCGCGGGGCTTGAGTGCCAAGGCAGCTACGAAGGGGAAGGGAGCCGCTGCAGCAGCACCTCCCCCTTCCGCTCCGGAACCCAATGCGGACTCCGCTTCTTGGGTTCTTGCATCTGCAGGTACGCCGACGCATGTTCATGGGTCCTTCATCCTTCTAACGTGTTCACAAGGGCCTAAGGAACGGGATCCCAAACCCGTTCCCATTGCACGCAGCACCCGGCACCTCAATAGCATGGGGCACACACGCAATACCACGCCCACGCACCGGTGCTCATAAGTATACGTGTCGTCGCCTAAAACCCGCACACCTACGCGCTCCGCTCCAAGTCGCTGGGGACTGCTCAGGGGCCGACAGTTGAGATCCGTCATCTGTCGTGACGACATCGCATAAAATAATTGCGAGCGTGCCACACCCGGCAACCTCCCCGATGCCACACAACTGCGGTCTGTGGCCCTTCTCCTGTAGCCATCAAATGTATATCATTGATAAGCGGGCAACCCCAGTTTCAGCAACGCACGGCCTTCAACTCTGATAACATTCGCAAGCTCACGACCAGCAACCGTGTTGTCGTGATGTGCGAACAGGTGCACGGTTACGGCGACGACGGCCCAGCCCAGATCCCCTGACTCTCCTTACACCAGAGCAAAGACAGCTAGCGGAGGTGATGGCGCAGAGGCCAGCTGCGCCAGAGGCGGTGGAGGCGCCTCAGACACCGACCCCTCTTCGCGGCTTGGGCCAGCTGGGTCTCCCCCTGGGCCCTGCGGAGGTTTCCTCGCTGCTGCACCAGTCTCTCAGCGGGGCTGTTGGTCAGAATGTGCACTTCCAGCCGTTCGTCTTCTCCAACATCTTTCAGGTGGGTCATGGGTGGCTTGCTGGGGCAGTGGAGGGGGCAGACGACCTCCTCGAACCAACGAGCCCTGCCCCAGCCAAAGAGACTTTACGCACTCGTAGGCACACATGTTGCGGGTGGCCGTCGCGGTTGTTGTTCTAGTCGTTGTTGTAGCAGTAATAGCAGTAGTCGTAGAAGTAACAGCGAGATGGCTGTGGGCGGAGGGGCTGCAGCGGTGAAACGGACAAAGGCGTGTTGTGAAGTGGTCTGCATGTAGAGAAGTGGGTCAGGCGCGGGTATAGCCGTGTGCCCTTGTGTTCTGCCCACATGCATACATGCACGGAAGTATAGGGCATAAACCAGTCAATTGCTGACAAGTGAACACGCTAACATGCAGTCCTTTCTTTAACTCGTCTATCTGCCTTCCGCTGCTAATTCTCCCGTGACGTGCTGTGTGTGCATGTCTGTATGTTTGTGGATGTAGAGCGCCTCCGCAGCTGCCACCTACGTAGCTGCGGCGCTGGAGGGCGGTGCCAACTGGGGCCGTGTGGAGCGGTTTTTCCTGGCAGCTGTGGAGGCGGAGGATAACAACATCGTGAGGGGTGTGAGGGTGGCGGTCAGCGGACGAATGGGTAAGAGGGTGGAGAATGGGGGGGGGGAGAGAGGTGATAATTGGGACTGCGAATCTGCTTTGGTTGATGGGTGGACGGGAAGAGGGTGGACGATGCAGCTAGAAAGCTGTGACTGAAGCTACTTTGCGAATGTAGTAGAAGCAATCCTGCGAAAACCTCAGTTCGGTGCGTTGATCGGTGTTCTGGATTCCGTGTGTTATAGCCGGGGGCGTATATCTGCTCACTGCCGTTTACTTGCCTGGAACTCCACGTTTGCCGCATTGTCCGTTGCTCAGGTCTCAAGGCCGACATGGCTGCCACCAAGGTGTGGGAGTGGGGCGAGATGTCACTGAGGGCCTTATCTGACAGACTGGACTACGGAATTGCAACCGCCAATACGAGACTGGGGACACTAGGTAACAGGGCTCGCGCGGCGTGGGCTGGGAGGGGGACGGAGGCGGCTGCAGGCAGGTGATTGTCCGGTCTGGGCCCTGGTGGGGCGTGGGGAGGTTACGTCCTCTCTGTGCCAACCTTGCGCCAGGTTTCATTGGAGTGTGTATCCTTTGGCGACGCCCACAGCCCCGTCGGAGTCACTAAACTTCGTTTTCCCAAGCTCGTGGGATGTCCTTTCCTAACACCATGAAACTCTTACAACGGTGACAATCCCTCGTTTCCATTCCGGCAGGCGTCAAAGTGTGGATCCGGTACAAAACTGGGGCCATCAAGGACGTGTTCTTCCCGCCCACGGGAGGATCGCACTACCGTGCCCCACCAGCTGCCGGTGCAGCACCTACGATGAGCTTGAACGAGCTTTACAGCGTTGCCGCGTCGCGTACGGCACGTGTTGGGCTGCCGTACAAGTTCTCGTCTGTGGGTTGGTGGGAACGCACAGCGCCCGAGCAGCCCCTGGAGAACCGGCTTTCAGAGCTGTTCGTGGCGGGGTACAACCCGGCGGAAGGGGACCGCTTGGACCATTACTTCCGCCGACGACGTGAGGAACGGCGGCGGTTTCGGAGCGTGGCGGAGCGGCTGTCGTACATGGCAACAACTGGCAGGTTAGTGCATGCGTGCTTTGAGCGAGCACCCCGTGGAATTCCTTGGAACGAGGGCAGAGCTGGCCAGAGGGTCATGCAAAGGGATTATCGACGATCCGCTTTCCATGAGTTATTAATAATCATATGTATGTAGTCTATTAATAACCATAGCCACCTAATGTTTTCTGTTTCCAATTTTCTGGTGTCACAGGTTCTTGGCGAAGCAGCGCCGTCTGGCGAAGGTCCGTGCCGGGGGAGCGGGGCAGTCGCTGGTGGCTGGAGGAGATGTGGTGGCTTTAGGTCGCCGGCCGAATCGGTTGCTGGCGCGATACCGGTTGGGCGCCTTAACGCGCAAGCTGCGTGCGGCAGTGGTTTTGCGGTTCAGGTTAGCGGAAGTAAAGGCGCAAGCTGCGACTAATGACAATGCAAAGGTGGCGTAATGCGCGTAGTGATCAGACAGGCGATTACCTCACGGCCTTCCCAACTGGCGGAGGATAGCAATAGGGTTCCCTGCATAACAAGCATCTGTAAATGCAGTGCACGGAGAGCTTCCCTAAACATGTTAAAAGTATTCGTGGCAATCACATTGTGTGTCTCATAACCAGAGCCAACAACCGCTCCTGTCGTGACTCGTGAGGCGTCCCACGCGAGTTTCGCGTCGTGTATGCAAATGTGGCTTTCTTGGTAAAGTATCCGGCATGACAGCTGAGTTGCAGTGACCCGGCAGCATGGGGGCTTTGGGGCGGTGTGCAATGGTATGCAGACAGCAGCACGATAGGTGTGCAATGGTACACGCAGACAGCAGCTTCTCACGACGGTGCGGCCAGCTCTCCACGGTGCCCGCCAAGTAGATTGTGAGATAGGAGAACAGGTACATACGACTCCGGATGGTTGACGCAGGTAGAAGAATACAGACGAGGAGCCTGTTCTCCAGCTGCCAGAGCTAAAACGCAACAGTTGCAGTCGAGAGTCGATAAACGCGAATATATATGCCGATTGGCATTACACCTACGTGCTGCTTGCTTATTGTTACTCGCCGGGTGCCCATCCGTGGCGAGAGTATGTTAACAAGGGTAAAGACGCCTGCCGCAACTACTGCTCTTGACGCACCACATACGCACTACAGGCGAGGTCACCCACCTGCACCACCTGCACCGAACATAGCAGCATGATGGTGGGCATAAGCGCATGCGGACGTGCGCGTCAAGTAACTCAAGCAACAACTGTGCGCTGCCAGTATGCCACGGCACCCATCAATCCAGCCACCGCCATTCCATCCGAGCCATAAGCAAGCCGCGCCAGTGGCCAGCAGCGTGCAGAAGGGAAGCCTGTTGTATGGTCACATGGGTGCCAACACAAACAACAGCAATGTGAAGCAAAACATACAGCACGCATCTCTACGTATATGCACGGGTTTACAATCGCACAATGCACGCGTCAACATGGTTGTTGGTCAGTTGGTCTTACGTGGACTGGAGGAGAAATGGTTTCGGAGCTGTTCGTGGCGGGGTACAAACCAGCGGTAAGGGACCTCCTGGACCAGTACTTCCCCGACGACATGAGGAACGGCGGCGGTTTCGGAACGTGGCGGAGCGGCTGTCGTACATGGCGGCAATTGTCAGGTTAGTGCATGTGTGCTTTGAGCGAGCACCCCGTGGAATTCCTTGGAACGAGGACAGAGCTGTGCAGAGAGTTATGCAAAGGGATTATCGACGATCCGCTCTCCATGAGTTATTAATAACCATAGTCACCTAACGATCTGAGCTTTGAACCTTGTGTCACAGGTTCTTGGCGAACCAGCGCCGTCTGGCGAAGGTCCGTGCCGGGGAAGCGGGGCAGTCGCTAGTGGGTGGAGGAGATGTGGTGGCTTTCAGGTCGCCGGCCGAATCGGCTGTTGGCACGGTACCCACAGGACGCGTTAACGCACACATGGTTTTGCGGTTTAGATTTGGGGAAAAGCAGACACAAGCTTCGGCAAAGGATGGCGGCATTGCTGCATAACGTACGGGGAAAATTGTACGGGGGGAATGATTTGACGGTCGTGCCTTTCTGACTAGCAGCAGGCTTACCTGCGTAAGGAATATTGGCAATTACCGTTTCTTCTTTATGAACACGTCTAAAAAATTCGTGCTAATCACGTCCTTCGTGACTTCACCGGTGCCAACAACTACCGGTGCCAACAACAATTTCTCTTCGCATATTCATACAAAGGTGGTGTTGGGTTAGGTATGTGATATGGGAGCTCAGTTGTGGTGACCTTTCTCGTTGAAGGCATGCAGTCGTATGCGAAATGCCTTCCAGCATATGCTGCAAGCTCGGCTGGCGTTCAGCGCTTCAACCTTCTTGGACGCTATGCAACTGATACGTTCTGCAGCTTTTACTCTGTCGCTGTTCCGAAGGCGGTTGAAAATGCCTCCACAATCTCGTCCAGCCAGCTCACCCTGCTGAACCACCTGGGTACCTTGCCATCTGTCGCGCGCAACTGGGACAGCCGTACAGCTGAGACAGAGCTGCGCAACGTTGACACCGCTACCTACGCGGAACTGGAGCTTAGCAGGAGCGAGCCTACCGCTGTACAACGCGAACTGGCAAAGGTGAGGGTTTGTAGGGTCACCAGCGAGGCTCCTCTTTGTAAGTGCGCACAGTCTACTGCTACGAGCCCTGGTTACTGTTTCATTAATATAATTATCCTCTCCATTGAGCTTTCTCATCCAGCACTCCCGACCCTTGAGCGCTTCTCCCTGCATCTCGCCCTGCTGTCTGATGCGTTAGACCAGACACCAGCGCTTCCTCATCTCCCTCATCCACCCCGCCGCACACCCTGCCCTTCACACGCATGCACCACACACGCGCACCGCCGCTGGGGCACCTTCCCGTGGTTTCCTCAGCGGCATGGCGTTGCACTGCCCGCCGGTGCCTCCCGCCTTGCCGCCTCGGCAACGCTGGCGACCGTGCTGCCGCCGTCCATCCGCTCGCTCGCCGTCCTCTATGGGGTCCTGGATTACGACGGCGATGTGGCCCCCAGCGACGCCGCCGCACGGCAGCTGATCCGAAGTGTGGCAAAGGCACGACCCCATGCGCATTCGCTCGACACGGACTTGTCACCCGTATCAAGCAGCCAGGTGCGTGTGTTTCCCTTCGATTTGACGTGTTTGTGCTTTGCTTTTGCCCGTAGTTATCAACTTACCAAGGCGTTTTTACCATACCGTCAGTCATTCAAACCGAACTGAACCGAACTGAATGAGACGAGTGGCGAAACCCGTACAATCCACCAAACACCCTCCCCACTACATGGCCCTCAGATGAACGAGCTGTTCCACCGCCTAGGCTACATTGGCAGGTTGCCCTACTCGTACGGCAGCGCGCAGCTGATGGCGCTTTGTCTACGGACCATTCTAGCGGACGTGGACGACGAGGCGCGACTTAGGCCGTTGCCCAGGTATATGGGTACGGTACTGGAGCACGAGGCACCGAGGCCCCAAGTAGCTGCCGGGGAACCGCGAGGCCCCCTGGTAGCACAGGGGCTGCGGCCACCCGTGTGCACGTCACTCGTTTTCTTTTCCCTTGTTCTCCGGGGCTTGTCAACCTCGCACTGGGTCGTTGGCGCCTTGGCGACAAAGAAAGATTGTGTGCTAGGTTACCATCATGTCGACGGGTTAGGTTCTTCCATTTTCCAATCCTTGGTATTCCTTGTTCCCACCCCTGTACTTCCTCTCCCGCACCGAACCCTCACACAGCCTGGATTCCCGTCAGGCCGATCTCATCCGTTACCTGCGCTCGAGGCGGGCGGCCCCGGGCTCTACTCGCGGCATGCCTGCCGTACTGGACGTGGATCTGGCTGCTGAGCCGCCCGTCAGCCGCCTGGCTGCTGCTAGGAATATTCTGCAGGTGCGTGATGGCGATGTTAGTTGTTTAATTTGCAATTCCATTTCTTGGGGAGTGCGATGAAGGTATGAAGGAAAATGCCCTTAGTGCTGGTCATTTATCGTTAGGCCATAGTGCTGACCCCCATCCTCATACGGAGGTATTCTTCTCTGCTTGCCCTTAAAGCGGCATCGCCTCCATCGTGGCGCGGGAGGCAATGCTGACATTCATTCAACTTACGGAACATCGCCCTCACATACTAGGGTTTGTGCACCTCGGTTCACATACATACATACATACATACATACATACATACATACATACATACATACATACGCCCCGACTCTTCCAAGCGTTTTTGGTGTTTTTCATGCCGTATCCAATCGCCAAACCGCCAGTTACTCCAAAACCATGAGCTATGTGGCAGCCCCCTCGGTTCGACGGTTGAGGCACTCCGAGAGCTAGGTCACACGGGCCCTGTTCCCCCCACGACTGGAGAGGCGCTTATGCTGTCTGCGGAGCTTCGAGACCGCTGCCTCAGGCCCAGGCCCGGACACTTGGCGGCGCTGCGTGCTGTCGGGTACGGTGGTTTCAGCTCGCTTCAGGCGCCGTCGGCAGCACCGTACCCGGACAGCATAGCGCACGTAAAAGCAGTGCTACGAGTCTTGCGACGGGCGGATACGGAAGCTGCTACGCCGGCCACGCGTACGGCGCTAAGGCACCTGGCGGAGTTGCGTCGTCGCACACCGGCGTCGTCCCACGCGGCTGCGGCTGCGCCGTGGGTTCGTGGCCGCGGCGGAGGCAGCCCTGCTGCTGCGCTGGGTCCTTGCCCCAGCCAGTTGGAGGTTCGCGCAGCCATTGAAGATCTCCCTGTTTCAGAGATTTTGGTGGAGCGATTGTTTGACCTGGTGAGCATTTATCGCCGCTGTTATCTTTGCAGTTAATTTTGACCCCCAAGTTTTTCGTCATTGGGTTATTGGGTGGACCTGGTTCGCCCTGAGTCTAAATGGAACTATGTGTTCCGCGCTGGATTGGAGTGAATAATCGTTGTAGGCGTTTTTGCTCGTTGATGTTTCGAACATCACCATCCCTTCTCCGCCCGCCTGATGTGCACTCCTCTCCTGCGCGTGCGGCGATAACACACGCAGGGCTGGCCGGGCCCTATGCCACCGACCCATGGATCAGCTCTGGCGCTGGAGGATTATCTGCTGCAACACAAAAGCACAACCGCAGCTAGCATATCAGCTTCCAGCCGACATGCGCACCAAACAGCGGCGCTGCCCCCGCCGACAACGCACGCTGACGCAGCTGCTGCCGAGGGTGCTAGCTCTCGGGCGCAACTTCGCCGGCCTGGGCAATACGGCACGCATCACCAGCACCTGGGCACCTCGCACGACAGGCATTCGCGACAGCAACCCTTCGTATCGCGGCTTGGATCCAACCCGGAGGAGGCCCTGATCAAGATCCAGATCCGGGGCATGTTCCCTGGCGCGGTTTCGGAGTGGTATTTGCCAACGATGTCATACGAGGAGGCTGAGCACGTGCTGGGCTGCCTGATGGCGGCGCGAGGTGTGGTTCTGGAGCAGGTTTCGGGTAAGTCGTACGACGAGTATGTGGACCGTTGGTCTGAGGCTGAGGCGGAAGGGGATTGGTGGGGCATGGAGTGGCTTTGGCATTGAAGTGTGGACCAGCAGCCAACAGGAACAGAGTATCAGAGTGTATGTGTCAGTGTGCGCGTTACATCTCGAGATGTGTTACCGTTATCAAGGGGTTACAAGCTCATACGAGCAGGCAGTAGGAAAAGTAGGAAGAGTCACCATTAACAGGCACCACGAGTATCATGGCCACCGTCGATGATTTAATTCAAGGTCGGGCACTGGTAGTACTGTGCGTGGTTGTCTATGAAGCTTCGTATACGTGGAGGCGACTGTAGCGAAAAGTGCAATGGTGCTGGTGCAGTGTTGTCGTATTTTCGCTGGTGCTGCTGAACAGGAAAGCTGGCAGGGGGGCGGATGATGGTAGAAATTGGCGCAGGCGTGCTGACGACGTTGTGAATAAGGTGGCTTGGGGAATGAGAGGGAGATCGTAAAAGCAGTGGTATTAGTGTGGCTATGGTTCCGGCGCTTTGCAATTTTGGTTGGCTACTTCGTGGTGAACATGCAGGCATGCATTTTAATTATGCTTTGCATAGGATTATATTTTGTTCCTGAGTAGTGGTTGCTTAGCAGCGATTTTGTTGCGATACGTGGTAACAAGTTACCGTGTGTCAGCACGCTGCCGTTAGTATCCCTGACCAAGCTATCCGTGTGGCGCAGTGAAGGTCTAGCGGTTACTGTCGTTGAGCGTCTCCTGAACAGAGGATGCCGTTCTGCTGCATTTGTTCAAAGCAGAACGGGATCGGGTGCTCTCGGTGCGCTCTGGTTCAAAACATGGATACAGTGCTTGCTTCGCTCGTGAGTTCAAGTGGGTCTGATATCGCTGATTTCTAAAGCGTATCAGCCGATTACATTGCCCTTGCAATACTGGGAGCATATTGTGCACATTGTACGACACAGCGTCGCCTAAACAGCGTCGCCTAAACCCCCAATGCATCATAGTGATTTAATCACAAGGTGGTGCGCGAGTTCCTCAGCTACCAATGATGAGAATGCCTACATGAGCAACTCTTAATAAATTGTAGTCAGACGAATTTATGACATTGTACGATGCATCAATCCAATGCAGTATCTTCCAAAACTTAAGTGCACGCCGTATAAATGTCGTACGCTTCTTAGAGTGTCTTTACGGTTGCAGAAGGCCCTTACCAGTTCACCAGGCGAAATTCATAGCACAGATTTTCGCGCATTCTACTGGGACGTATTTCTTCCAAGAACGTACTTGCTGCTAACACCGCCGCAGTAAACGGCATACTTCATTCATCACCAATTGCTTAGGTTTCTCTTGATGATTTCCGCAGCTCCCTCCCTGCCGCACATCACACGAACCCTCTCCACGGTGGCGGGGGCAAGCAGGGGAACGAACCCACTTCGCGCGCTGCCACCACCACTGCCCTTCATCACTTGGCCAGCGCCACTCCCGTCGCCGCCGTTGCTGGTGCTGCCTACTGAGGTGCTCGTTGCCGTCCGAGCGGCCGCAGTGGCTCTCTGTAATGCTGCCAGGACCACCGCCGACAGTAGCAAGGGCGGCTCTCCACACGCCTTGGAGCTTACTGGACCCTGTACCAAGTAAGGCAGGTACGGGGGTGGAAACGTGAGGTGCATCGTAGTGTACACGACCCAGTGTGTTCCGAGCAGGCAGCGGGGCCGCAACCAGGCAAAATGGAAGGACGCAGAAAAGGAAGGTCACCGTCGCCAACCGACGGTGCTTCGTTGCAATTTCGTTGACGTCGATGGTGTGTGTATTATGGGGCCATATGAACGGCCTACCGTGCCAAAGCCCCTTCCCACCTCCGACGCCAGCGGTGCGTCATTCAGCATGTGCACATTGAGTTGCTGCGGGACACAGGACACCGACGGCGGCTTGTAGTTCCAGGTGCTGTTCTGTACGAGCGCGCCTGTCGTACTGTCGTACGTGACCTCTTCCTGCAGCATCATGCCCAAGCCCTGTACGAACGCTCCCTCCACCTGGCCCAGGTCCACGGCGGGGTTGACCGGGCGACCCAGGTCGAACATGATATCGGAGCGGAGCACTCGACGATCACCCGTAAGGATATCCACCTGTCGGAGGTGAAGGAACGTTTTAAGAAAGCGTTTTATGTGTGTGGGGTGAAAGGCGGAGAGCTGGGGAGGAGAGGAAGTGAGTGGCAGAGAGGAAAGCGGTTATGATGCTGTAAAAACATTCCCAGATGATTTTCGAAACGCACAGACAGGCGGCAATGCCAGGAGACAGTTCCTTTGCGAGTCCCAGTCTCCCAGACCCCTCTAATCCCGGCAGCAGTGGGACACTTTCAGAGGGATGAGAGAGACAGAGGCGCACAGACCTGATACGACCAATACAGGGGGGGAACAGAAAGCTGATGACTCGCACAAGGACAAATCGGGCCCAAGTCCACCAGCAGCAGTCAACCCCCCACCTCCCACCTTTACCCCGGTTCCCCTCCTCACCTCCACCACCCCCAGAGCCACCCCCATCACGTGGTACTGCGGGGCCAGGGGACCGACCGCAACCCCCCTGGAGCTCTCCGGAAGGTCGGACTGACCGCCCCAGGCGAAGGCAGACAGGGGGGCCTGGCAGAGGGCAACGGCGGACAGATGCGGCAGAGGAGGAAGTGAGATTGACCAGACGTACAGTCACCCTGCAAGACATGCGAACCTACTCCTCCTTGCCTCGCGTCTGCAGCAGCAGTTGGCGCAATCCTATCCGTCTGTCAGTTTCTCAACCCCTCACCCTCCACCTGCCGTAACAATACGCCATGGACCCCAGAGCCTCCCGGGTAAAACCCCGCTCTCGCCCAATGCCGTACACTCACTGCCGTACCATGACACCCATTGGAGTTGAGACCGCCGCCACCAAGTCCTGCAACACCAACAGGTAACGATTGCAAAGTTGTGACGTATACGACATCGCAAGGAGTATGGCATATCCAGTATGGTAGGCCACGGTACAAAACAAGTGGCTGCTCTGGTGCGTTTCATTCCGTTCCGTAGCTGACCGTGCGCCGTTCCTCCCAATTACCCCGCCACGCCCACCACATACCCACGCACCCGCAGCCCGAAGTCCTCCCTTCCAGCCATCTTGGGGAGGGCAAACTCCTGCAGCAGACAGCCGCAACAACACAGGGGGTAGTGCAACATGGCGTGTGGTACGACACAGGTACGACATCACCAGCTGCGTATTAAGTCCTGCTGAACAGCACCCCAAACCCTCCCCGGCGCCACCCCACCCACCCTACCCGAAGGTTCTTGAGCAGCTGCAGACACGCCAGCCGTACAGCCGCACATGCAATCTCGCTTGTGGTGGACGCGCCGGTCACCCCGCTGTGTGGCAGCAGCTCGGTGCTGTTGTCGCAGATCCTGAAGGGAGGGGGCCGGCGGGGCAAGAGGGAGCCCGTGCCGGGGCCCCGGAGGGAGCGAGGGAGTGAGTGAGGGCGAAGCTGCATGCTTGCGCAGGTGGTCTGAAAGGGTTACACGCTCCCGTGCTCAGCCGCTCACCTGATGAAGCTGATGTCCAGCGGCCGACGAGAGTGGGGCAGCACCTCGGACAGAGTCAGAGCCGCCACCTGCACGTCCAGGGAGGGGGAGGAGGAAGGGGGGGGAGGGGGGGTTACTGGGTCGGGCGTGCCAGTCGGTGGGCGGGTCGGCCAGGTGGCGAGGCAACAGGGAAACCCACGCACCCCCAATACACACACGGTGCCTCCCTGGGGCTCCCCCGGCGCCCCCACCTGCGCCACCTTGGTCCACAGCCCCTGGCCCATCTCCACGCCATGACAAGCCACCTGCACCGTACCGTCCTGGAGCAGGCTCACGTAGGCCGGCTTTTTGCCGCGATACATAGTGTACCTGCGAAGGCGAGTACGGCATTATGCGGTCAACTTGTACGACCCAGACGTGCCATACAAGTACCAGATATCTACGGCAAATTCGTGCAGGGCATTAGGGGCTTATAGGGCCTTTGAACTGCTCAGCATGTGGGGGCTTTCTTTCAGGTTTCAGGTGGATCAGACTTTGGTAACGGATGTTGACGGTAGCGGATGTTTCCGAACCTTTTCCTCACACGGTTAAAGGCAACACGGCGCTTAGCGAGCCCTCACACACGCACCCCTGAGCCGCTCCCCCGACTCGCCTTGTGGGTATCATGGCCACGCCCCGTTTGCGCCAGGGGCTGGTCGCATTGAACGACTCAACAGCCGCCTGTGTGGGTGTCAGTGTGTGCAGCGGGAGAGGGAGGGGCCTGGTCAACAGGGAAAGGGGCCAAGAAGAGCCACGACGCCGTACCTTGATTCGTTCCCAGTCCGCCACCCGCTGCAGCCGCGACCACATGTACGGCAGGGTGTACTGCCGCAGCGGGATGGTCTTGCCTAACGCGGTCGTGACGACGGGCTCCATCGGCGCCGCTGCCGCCACCCCTTGACCCGGGGCAGTGGCCACGTCATTCGCACAGTCCGGCTCTGGTGATGGCGGCGGTGGCGGCGGCGGCGCCTTGAGGAAGTTGGCCTCGCGTAAGGCCTCTGGATCCACCTTCAGCTCGGCCGCCACGTGCTCCATGATCTGGAGGATCCAGAATCCAAAACCCGTGTGAATCCAAGGAAATCCAACTTTGTGGGATCGCGGAACGGATCGGTGGCCAGTTGATGCACTTTGTCTGTACTACACTGCGCCGTACACACAATGGCTCTTGACACCCTGTGCAACACCACAACAAAAGGTTCCGATCGCCGCCACCCAGATCGTGCTGATATCATGCCGTATAATCGTACGCTTTACGGATGCCCGCCCATATACACACACGTCCCGGCAACCCGACTCACCTGCTCAATGACCATGGTGGCATTGATCTCACCGGGGCCCCGTACTGCCGTACGGGGTGGCAGGTTACAGCGCGCCAGCGCAACCTCCAGCCTGCATGAGATACGGTATCCTCGTACACATCAACAAAGCCACATAAGCCGAGGAGACATGGAAACAGGTCGGATGGGCATGGGCAATAATGGTCCCGGTGTGTCATCATCAGGTCAAAAGCTTACAGAGGTGCCCAAATCCAATCCCGGATCCCCTCCAATACCAGTCCTGAAGTCCCAATCATACAACACACACTGCCTTTACATCCTGAACGGCAGACAAGTCCCCAATTCATGGGTCAGATTGAGGCACATTACAACACTCTCCTGCGTGCTTCTATATCTGGGAACCACCGCGACCCCCTTGTACGACTGTACTGCACCTGAAAGCGGGTATGTCGTACACGCTATCCACTGCCGCGATCATACCCATGGCATCTATGAAGCTGATATCCTTCTGGGCGCCTCCCATCATCACCGCGTGGATGTCCAGGGCACGAAAGCGAGGTGGCGCCCGCCGTTGATGAGGTGAAGACGTCTGATCCTGCTGGCCGTGGACGTTGCTGCTGCTGGCGTCGGGATCGCCGTCTTCCGCCGGGCAATCATCTAGTACGGCAACGTACGACACATCTGTCTCGCAGCGGCCGCCCCACATTACTGCGTCAGTATTGCGAGGCACTGAGATCCTGACGTGACGTACGACAAGAGGGGGTAGGGGACACGAGAGGTGACGGGAGGTTACCGGAGTCGATTCGTCCGGCAAGCAAGCTCGAACCGTAACACACATGGAGCCATCAAAGCTTCGACCTTACCGGACTTGGCGACCGGTGGCGACGGCCGCGACCGCCGCCACGACGGCGACTCGACGTGCGAAGGTGAGCTTCCCTCCGAATCCTCCCCCCACCCTCCTGCACCTCACCAGCACCTTGTTCAGGGGCAGCTGAAGTGCAGCGGACACTCCACCCTGGAAAGGGGAACCGCAAAAAGTCGGCAAAGGGGCCGGGTGGTAAGGGGCCGGGTGGTAAGGGGCCGGGTGGTAAGGGGCCGGGTGGTAAGGGGCCGGGTGGTAAGGGGCCGGGTGGCAAGGGGCCGGGTGGTAAGGGCCCGGGTGGTAAGGGGCCGGGTGGCTGTTCCCACCCTCCCTTCCCAGGTCCCCCTCGTACACTCACCTGTACGAAATCCGGTCCCTGGCACGAGCTGTGCACCACCACACAGCCGTCCTCGTCGGGCCAGGCCACCGCGCTCTGAGTCTCCATGTAAAAGTGAAGCTGGGAAGGGGTAAAGTAGCGGCCACAAACAACACGCAGAGTGGAAGGCCGCGGCGGTGGAGACGCCGAGCCCGGCACACCTGCGATGGCGGTTGATTCGTCACGCTCGCCGCCGCCAAGCGCTGCTGCAGTTAGCGCCGCCGCCGCCGGCGCAGCTGCCGTTGACAGAACTTTGTCGACGTCAGACCCGCCTTTTGACAAAACGCTGTTCTTGTCGCCGTATGTATTGCCGCTTGGAAAGGAAGGAAGCAAACCTGGGAGCTGGTAAAAAGATCGCGCACGTACGGCATCCGCAATGGAAAGCAGCGGTGCGTCGCCATCAGTCGATGTGTCGTACATTAAGTGTACGGCCTTGGCGCCGCGTTGCGCAGCCACGTGGCTGTTCAGATCACCGGGAGAAAGGCCGCGATAAGGACCGCAAGGACGCAGGTGGCTCAAAGTACGTCTTAACTACCAAAATATACTGCGCATGTACGGACATACATGCAGTACTAACGAACTACGTTCACGTGTTGCCACGTAAGCCACAGCACATACGCATGGATGCCATCTTTGTAAACTCAACAACAAACTGAAACAACCATTCACATAATCGAATGCGGACAGGTTTCAAGTGTACGACTGGAGCTCCCACGTAAAATTCGACACACAAGTCTAAGCGCCCATTTGAAGCCAAAAAGCTGCTCCGTACACCTCCGTACCTATCTGCCAGTACGACGCCCACCAGCTGTCCAGCGAACTCGCACTTTCCGCCCACCTCCAAGAACGTCTTCTCCGCAGCTCCGGCCCCCACGGGAGGCTTCTCGCAAGCGTTGAGCGCCCCCCCTGGACCCACCCCGGCCAGGTCGGAGGCACCCAGGAAGCGAACCACCCCCGGAAGGGACACAGCGGGAGAGGCGTCGATACCCGCCAGCCGCCCACAAGCGCGGGCCGATAGTACGAACGCGCCGTACAGGGCACCCCGGTGTACGGGCACGTCCTCGGTGTACAGCGCCGTGCCGGACGCCTGGACGGAGACAGTGGAGTTAGTGGTTAGGCAGTTAGCAGTTAGCGGTTGGGTGGGAACCGCAGGACATGAAGGGTGGCGTCTGCTGCCACAGCAGAGGCATGAGGACCGAGGGGATAGCGGGTTCCTACATCGCAGGCATCAGGAGCTCCTATATGTCTCACCTGCAACTTAGACCCCAGTTTGGGTACGGGCTGAGTCACTGGAAGCAGCTCCGGAACCGCATCAGTCAGGAACTGGCGACCCTCCACCAAGGGTGGGGGTGGCATGCGGCGCGGTGGCGGTGACGACATGGACGAGCACTGCGGCTGCTGCGGCTGCTGCGGCTGCTGATCCGGTCGCGAATGTGCCGTTATGCCGTGTCCGTTGGCGCTAATGATGACGGCGGCTTCAGCAGCGCCATCGGCATCGCCGTTGACACCTTCGTGTACGGCAACCTTGGCGGCGCCGTGGACACAGTCAGCACCTCCATCGCCGTCGCCGTTTTCCACACCGGCGGCGGCCTTGATCACGTCCACCCCCGGCGCCGCTTGAATCTCCGCCGCCGGCGGCGTTGGCGATAGGCCCAGACACGCCATAAGCCCCTGTGCAACCAGTCCCTGCGCGATGGTCACGGCGGCTACTGCCTTTTCTTCATCCCCTGCTGCCGCCGCAGTAGCACTAGCAGCAGCCGTCACCTCCGCCAGGTCCGTCGCCGCCAGGGCCTCCAGTGCAGCCACTACGGTGGCTGCGGTGGCGGCCTGGTTCCGGAGCGCCGCCTCCGCCGCCTTCGCGCGCAGGCACTGCCAGCCGTCCAGCAGGACCACTGTCGCGTCCTTCAGCTTAGCGGCGTTATGCTCCGAAAGCGAATCATGTGGAGCACCGGGAGCTGAAGCGCCGCCGCCAGGAGTACGGACACCCACCACGATCCTCACCTCCTCCACCACGGGCCGCGGACCTTCTGCCTCTTCAGCGGCGGACAGGCGGACGAGGACTGCGGCGTTGGCCACCGCAGCGGCGTTGCTGTAACGCTCGGCGATACGATGGCTCCAGAATCTGACCCGTGGGTCGGCTGGCGGCAGCGGCACACGCACCGCCGTCAGGATGTAGGAGGCGCCAGGCGGTAGGGAGGGCGCGGCACCGGTGACGAACTCCAGCAGGTCAGCGCGGCGGACGGACCCGTGGGTCTCTGGGTCAGATGACACCACCACCAGCTCCACTTCCGACCCTGCAGGACCGGGACCGGGAGCAGACGGCTGGGGATGGATCCTGTGATCCGGTCTTGGCAGTTATCCCTCATCGACTAAGACGGCTGATGGTTGGCAGTTAATGGTCACGGATAAATTGTCAGCGTTTCCCGGCAGGAACGAGCCCCTAAAGCACAGTAAGCAAATAGTCGGCCGTTGCTGCAGGAGCATTCGAAAAGAGCAAGCAACCTAACTACCGAGGTAACGAACTTACCGGCCGCAGCCAACAGAGTTGCGACGTCACTAGGCAGGGAGCGCTCGCGGGCGAGCACCAAGTTGCCTCCAACCTGCAACCAACGAACCAACCAACCACGTAACCGACAACCAGGTCAAGCAATCTATCAGTTGAACTCAAACCGGGCGCTCTGCTTACGCGCTCCGAAGCCCCAGGGACAAGGGAACCAGGGGCCACTCACCGTGGCGGAGTTCCGCACGTGCCGGCCGGCGATACGGTACAAATGGGCCGACGTCTCCGCCGCCCACTGCCGTACACCGAATGCCGTACCCGCCACATCGCTGTTGTTGTCGGCCCCGGTTCCCCCAGGTGCCACCGCCGCTACTGCTACCTCTTCCTCCGCTGCCACCCCCTGGGCCCTATGCGCCAGGTGGGCAGCCAGCCGCTCCAGTGTGGTACAGGCGCCGATGTGGAGATGGTACGACACCTCCTGGGAAGCACCACATGGGGGCCCCCGAAGTGGGACAGCTGTTCTTTTCTAAGGAAAGTAGGGTAGGGGCCTAGCATAGTTGTCACGGCGATATGCCGTATACATACCACCCGCATCTTCGTTTGTGGAATCCTGGCGTCGTTGGAACTTGGTCGCTAAGACCTGACGGTTATATTTAGCTTTGATATGCACAATATGCACATAGCCACCACTTGCACAACCAGCTCCCCCACGCCTTCCCTGCCTCCATGTTCGCTTTCAATACTCACCCTCGCCGACGTTGCTTCTTCACAGTTCACAAGGCCATCGTTCGCCGCCATGATCTCCAAGCGCCGCAGCTCCGGAACCTGCGCGGGCCATGCGACCGCTGCCGTATGCTTCCCACCTGATGAAAGGGAGCGCCTTCCTGCCAGTCGATTACATCCAGTCCATACATCGAGCGTGTGCAGCAAACGGCTCATGGTTCATGAAGCATCATGTCCGTATACTAGCGGCACGACATTTCCTCAGTACGACACATATGTACAACTCAGCTCGACAACGGCCCCGGCCAGAGCTGCCTCCCTGCCTCTTGTGTCTTTTTGCGTCTTTCCCCTCCCCTCCCTCCCCGGCCCCTGTCCGCACCTCCGCCACCGCCACCAGCACCTCCTCCTCCAGCGGCCAGTCCTTGAACACCCCGTGCCCCGTGTGGCCCGCCACCAGCCGCCAGGAGGGGGTTGACCTGCCTGCTGCGGCTGCTGCCAGGCGGCCTGCCTCCGAAACCAGCTGCTCCAGGGAGCGGGGTACCTGCGGTGAAGGCGGTGAGGCGGCGCCAGCTACACGTGAAAGAAATATATGTTTGTATGTATGTATGTCTATGGGAGACCCTAATGATGGTGACCTAGGTTCTCGCTCGCCCGAGGCCACAGCCCTTCAACAAGACAACTCCGCACCAGCAAGCAAGGCGAGCAGATGCCATGCTGCCGGAGCAAAAGGCAGTGTACTCCAATACCGAGCTACTGAAGCTCCCTCACCCCTGTCCTTACCCCCCTTACCCCCCTCCCTCCTACCTTGAGCACCTGGCGAGATCCCAGGGAGATCTCCGTACAGGAGGAGTCCCCGCAACTGCCACTACTGCCGCTACTGCCACTGCTGGTTACGTCGGCAGTGCCGCTGCCGCAGGCAGTAGCAGCGACTGGTGAGATGGATCCAGCCGCAGTAGCGCCTGCCGTACGGCGGCGGCACAGGTCCTCGATGTCCGTCACCTCCGCTGCCAGGCTCTACAAGACCACCAAAGGCAACCAAAGAAACGGTTGTTCGGATTGTTAGGTTCGTATGCGGCTGCTCTTGACATTACTGTCAATGCACGAAGGGTGTAATGCCATTTTGGACCACCTTGGAGCACATGGGAAGGGAAGACGGGTGTATCGGAGCCACGCGCCAGGCTGTCCAAACGACCCGCGGGTCCTCCGCCCTCCCCGACACACGCCTACACATGCGGACACCACCTCCGACCTCCATCCCCTCAGGCACCCACCCTGCATGCCGCCACAATGGGTCGGTAGCCCGTGCACCGGCACAGGTTGCCATCCAGCGCCCGCAGCAGCGAGCCGTCATCCGGAGTAGCTGGCATGGCGGTGGCAGCGGCACCACCATCAGCGGCAGCAGCAGCTGCGTTGTGCAGTGCTGCGTGACATGCGACCGTGAACCCAGGAGTGCAGTACCCGCACTGTGACGCATGGAACTCGGACAGACGCCCTGAGGGAAGTGAGTGCACAATAGGGGTAAAACATGTGAAAGACGCTGCCCATCCTGGACAGCCTGCCTTAGGGTGCGTGAGGACGGGATTACATACTCCTGCTAATAGATCATCTTTTACCGTTTTAGGATAGCAGTGAGTCCCCAGTCCTAGCTAACCTTTTGGACCTTTGCCAGACGTTATGGTTCGCGAACGCGATGTGGGTCGCACCGAAGACGTACAATCACTTATTGAAGAAAATTTAGTAACGGTAACCTTAACAGTAGCGCGAGCAGCCCGAGAATTACAATGACTAATGGAAGGTGCTCTGAGCCGCCCCGCATGGTTTGACCCACATCGCCTGACGTTGCTTTCTTTCATGTGCCGTACCATTAGGTGGCTCGGCCGTCCTTGACGTAACAACAACTCGGTTTCTGTCGTGTCGTGTTCATTACTATATGAGCAAACCTCGTGTGCAATACTAGTGATATGGGTCTTTGTGCAAGCAATGAATTGTATGATGAAGTTGACTGGAGGCAGAAGGACCAGAATGGGATCCACGGTTGCGCATCTAGAATCCTGGATTCAGAACTGACTCGGTTGGTCCGACACCATGTCGACACCGCCTATCTGGTCACTTCAAGGCCACATTTAGCCAACAAGCACACACTACCCTTTCGCCCAGCGCAACCTGCGATGCGTTCCACACGCATACATGGCCGTACCTGCTACCAGCGACGTGCCGTACGGCTCTGCTGCCGGAAGGCCCTCCGCGGTGATCACGGAGCGGCCCAGTACCGAGTAGACGGGCGCAAGGCAGGAGTTGAGGGTGCGCAGGTGGGGATGGCCTGGGGGCATGTGCGACACCAGGAACGTAGGAACGCGAGCAGAGAAGCAGAGAAAATGTGGAGGGATGGGGGATGTTGGAAACGAGAATGGAAGCAGAGGATTGGTGAAAAAGCCTGATCCCGTTGCTAAACACACAGCCACTTTAATGCGAGCAGAGTACACGCGAGTAATTCCGCAGGGGATGTGTCGGACAGTTCAAGAACGACGACAACGAACACGACGGCAAAATTCACCGAATAACATAACAGAGAGGAGACGACTTGATGCAGTATAGAGCTTGCCGTGAAGCTCGTAATTGCACGAACTGTGCCGGTGCCGCGGCAGGAAAAAGCGGTGCTATTAGACCCACCATTGCGCTCCTCCTCGATTGCGACCGTGCAAGCCCCGCAACCACCTTCACCGCACGCAACTTTGACACTCTGTGCTGGGTTGAGAATTGGCACAGATCAAATGCACACCAATATCTTTGGTCCCTGGTGAAACCCAGGACTAACTGTCATTTGGTGCATATGTGGATTGGACAACCATATGATCATGTGTAAGTTTAAAGAATATGAAACATAAGGAGATATGCAGGAGCGTGAACGCGCAGCTAGAAAATAGGGCTTGACATCTATAACTGCTGGATTGACAGCAATATTGCACTGCACCTTGAGCAAAGTTGTAGATTTAATGAAGGTTGCCAAGGAAATATTGGCCGATTCTGGAGCCACATCAAAGTGCTGGCCATTTATGCGCAGCTCCATCCTGCCGCAGCTCTTAACGAAAGTCATGGTCGAATACACACCTGGCTGGGCTAAGATACCCAAAAACCATATGCTGCATCAGCGATACTACGACTAAGATCAAAAATCTATGCAAGGGTGTATACATCGGGAGGGGAAGCCTCCCTGGACTCCAACAAAGGCTTTCACCCCAGCGCACGTCCTTTACGTTACGTTATTATATAACATTTCCAAACAATCGCTTTCAGTAAGAAAATTATACATGTGACGGTTGCTAGGGGAAATTGGAGCTTGATGCACCGGCTTTGAATGACATCAGCCCGGAATAGAGCGTTGTTCGCAACCTTCAGTAATATTAACCAATACTTTATCCAGCTCATTTTTAATTAGAAGTTATACACTGCAAAACAGACCTACGAAGACTGGTGCACCAGTGCAGCAACACCCGCCGCCCGCCCGGGCTCGCGCGCCAAAACCGTTTTCGCCCCAGAGGACGTCCTTAACTTAACAATAACACAGGTCAAAGCCTCCATGAGCTTAGTACATACGCACCGGACTGTTGAAAAAAAACCTGCAGGCGGCCCGCTTAGCGGCCCCGCAGGCGCACTGCCCCAGATATTGAAGCCTTTTCGTAGTTTCGGGTACAAATCATTAAAACTCTCCACGACTAATAAGTTACACAAAGCAGAATTTACCTGGAAATCGCGTAGCGAAACTTGAACGAAACGTGCATACAGCAACTGCCACGTCGCTGCCTTACGAATTCTCAGCGAACTTAAATACGTATAAGAGCGTGTTATTTGCAGTACGTGTTCGGCTCGAATGATAACAGTATGACCCTCGCTCGGTGAGTGAGAGCAGCAAGGACCAGACGACCCGGGAGAGGGAACGTGACCGGAATCAGTTCAGCAGATGTTACATGTAGCAGCCTTATGAACGATTGGGAGCCTTATGAACGATTGGACAAATACTGTGATCACGAGCTGGGAAGCATACAGTCCTCACGATTGGCGAGGCGGGGCCTGCGCAACCGCCGCGGCTTGCGCCTTCACGCGTGCAGGCATACTGCACGATCATGTACATCAGTACATGATGCGATGGATGGACAGCTAACCAGCAATGGGCGGGGAAACGGAGGCGCAAGACAGGGACCAGCAGACACACGAGCTGGTCACCGGGTCGGCAGCCCCAAGCGCCCACTTTTGCCAACATGCCACGGCGAGTAATTATTGTTTACTGCACCTGCATGCATATATACATATATAATTCCTGAACCCGCCGGTACTATGTAGTGTCACGGCCCGAATGCCATATCCCACATACATACGCGAAACACACACTAGCCTAGGAGTATCAGTGCATACCGACTGCTGCACCCTCCTGTACCGCATGATGAACTCATGCGCCCAATACCTGCCGTCCGCCTTTCGCAAGCGAATTCCGTTCAAGAGGTGTAACGCTGCATACGCCACCTGCGACGCCGGAGAGAGCTGCTGCACCACATGTCTTGTAGATCTATGGCCAACGAAGCAAAGACCGTGCCTGAGACACGACCCTACCAGTTGTTCAAAATTTGTAGTGATTGCTGGCAGACACCAGCCAGGGGCCCGAATACGCCGCCACCAAATGGCCAAGGATGGCATGCTATACCGACCAAAGCAAGAGTAGTGTCCTAGTGATAGCATTAGTGCATCAATGCCTCTCAGGTTTAAAATTACATGCCTCCTCCCTAGAACCTCCGCCCGATTCCGCCAGTCTCGTCAGCACCTCACCATTAAAACCAATAAATTTAATTAATACCTTACACGTTAAGAAGTGCGAGCTCATGGGTATTGCTCAAAACTCCAAGGTGGAACGCATGTGCCTGTGTAGGTGCATTAGCTAGCAGCTGAAAATGCCTCTTATACATGCTGGCGGAGCGCCATAGCGTGTATTCATCGACAATACGTGTGCCGTACTATAAATCTTCTACAGTGGGCCTGCATCTGGTAGGAGAGGCCATCCCTGTAGTACGGGGTGCACGGTATTTAGGCTTGGCCCACGGACCGGAGAAGATCTTTTCCACTCACCGAGGCCGGGGGAAATGCTGTCTCCAGCTTATCAGTTAAGCTTAGACAACTATAAGTTGTGGGCCCCTGACCTACTAATGAGGTGCTTTGCAGTACACGTTCATTCCATTTTCCTATGGCCTATGGTGAGATCTGGGGACCTGATGCCCACGCTCTTTCGCGAGCCAGCAAGCGCCCTGACCGTAAGAAGCTTGCGGAATTTCGAGACAGCATTTTGAAGATGTCCACCTATTTCGGACAGTCTTCGGCCCCCTGGCCCTTGGGCCCCCTCAGCAGCGAGGCTCGTATGCGCCCGTTACATGTCTGGAGGGTGACGCATCTCAACGTGTGATACACACACAACATTATGAAGTGTTCGTCAGGATCCACATCCGCTCGCCTGACATTGCATACATGGGGTTTTACCACGCATCCATGGTAAATCAAAAAGAAAGACGAAAATTCGATTGACGGGGCTCATATGCAGGCTGCCTAGCTTTAACGTCTATCGGCGTGGTTTTGGTAGCTAGGCAAGCGTCATCCGTCGTCAACAGCAGACAGTGCAAATGTATGCAACAAAAAGGTACGCACGCACAGGCCCTACTCGGGCATGCACTTTACTGACGGGCATAAAAATGTACAGCCAGGGGTAAACTAGGCACAATCTAAAATGAATCACAAGACAAAATTATAGAGGAAGCAAAATAGGGAATGATTGCTCCCATTTGATATTCATGGATTGGAAGTACCTTCAATGCAAAAGACGACAAGCAGGAAATATGGAACAAGAGGATCACCGAAGCTCCAACATACCAGATACGTAGCCTGGGAAATACAAAAGGCAGGACAATATTCAACCAAAGCACACAATATGCAATATTGTCCCTGATGGACGAATTTTGGCTTATAAGGCATGGACGAATGTAGGATGTCCATTTCGCAAACGTTAAGTCAGCGTATACAGCACCACCGTTAGGCCCCCACAATCACAAATGCACATCATCGTAGCCATCGTAGCCAAACGTAACCAATACTCTAGAACACGCAACGCAGCCAGTTAATCTAGGAAACGCCGCAAGCTCTCGCAAACCGAGGCCATGCTAGGCCTGGCCGATGGATCCGCCCTCAGGCACTCCTCCACAACGGCCACGAGACCCGGGTGCACATCCTCTGGCCACACCAGGATGTCAGGTGGAAGCGCCTCCGCCTCTTCCGGGTTAATGCGGGATTGCTTCACCAGCCAGGCCTGCAGCTGGGAGCCCTCGGGCCGGCATCGGAGCAGCACCGGCAATGGAGCACCCAGCACCAGCTCCCAAATCACCACAGCAAATGCGTACACGTCACCAGCCGCGCTGACCTTGCCGTACCTGACCAGCTCAGGGGCCGAGTAGGCAGAGCTGCGCCTGCAGATGGGTTGGTTACACGCTCCTCTTAAGGTAGACGAAATGGATATGCTCTTCTCGACATTTTCTGAGCCACACGGAATGGGCGACCAGGTTATGTCACATTCCGGGAAACCAGCAAGCCAGGCTTGGCTATTTCAGCTTCTCCAAGAAGCTGCTATAGCACAGCCAACGGGGCCAACGAAAGAGGCTACATGCTTCCACATTCTTTACCTCTCACGGCCCAATTCTGCGACCATGCACCTACATTAAACTAGGAGTCATGAATTGGATTCTCAAAACCTGGCAAGAAGGCCAAATATATCGCAAGCTAGTCCATGGAACCTGTGATACGGAGCCACACACCAAGAGCAATGCATAACAACGTGCGTACCTCGCTGGGCCGGAGATGTGGGTGGCATCCCGGTCAAGTCGTCCCGACAAGCCGAAGTCGCTGACCTTGGCCACATAGCCATACGTGTATGGGTCCGCATTCGCCACAGAAGCACTAGTACTGTTCCTGGCAGCCACTGTAGCTGACTGGTTCGCAACTGCACGCTTCAACAGGATGTTGGCAGAGCTGACATCAGCATGTATGATGGAGCGGGAATGCAGATGTGCCAGTCCCCGGGCTGCCTGCAGAGCCACCGTCAGAATGACATGGCCTTCCAGCCGCCCATCTGCCACCGTCGGCAGCTGGTCTTTCGCCTGCTGTTCCTGCGGCTCGCCGTCTTGGGGCTGGATTGTGGCTTTTAAATTTAAACTGGGCAGCATCCATCCGTCCTCTCGGACTCGAAGCACAGGTTGAGCCCTGCAGCCTACAAGTGTTTGGTGCTCCAGGCAGTGCTGCAAGCTGTTGCCCTCACAGAGCTCCTGGACGAGTGTCAGCTTCCAAACCTCCGCCTGCTGCGACCCTGCATTTGCAATAGCAGCAAGCAGCGCTGCTTAGACCTGGTTCGGACGAATTTAAAAACCTCGAGCCTTCAGGCATCTTTATCCTGGCAAGCTTCCTCTACACCTCTCGCACCATTTACCTGGTAACGACAAAGATGCAGGCAACTTCATACTGAGCGCGACCGCCCCTTTCCAATAATGCTTTGTGTGGCACGCTGAAGGAGTAATACCTTAGAAATGGGATATCCGCGGTTAGGCCCATGCTGGCTATAGACGATATATGTAGCCTTAGTCGGTGCCTCTATATATAGGCAGAGGCTAATAATAGTCGACGGCATCGTAATACCCCGAATGATGGTGCGCGCTATAGATGTATGATCAGAACAAAATATAGACTTGCCTTGGGCTGGTGAAGGCAGGGGAATAACCTCAGCGCTGCTGGAATGTCCTACTGTTGACGTTGGCAATGACAGCCTTTCCCGTTGCGAGGGCTCCTCCCCTAGGCGCTGCAACATGTAGGTGTATGTAGCCACCACATTGGGGTGTGATACACTGGCACTGATAGCGGCCTCCTGGATGGCTTGCTGCACTGCATCGTACTGGGTCTTTACTGCTGCTGCTGCTGCTGGAGATACAGTTACCTGCAAGAAGGGAAGGCCATGGATGGATGTAGTGAGAAGATACATGGCTGATCACAAATAGCTGGTGAACATAAATAAGGAAGCAAAGTGCGGCACGGGTATACACTCAGCACAGCAAGTACTAGGCCAGCGGTAGCTGTTAGTCCTATGCCATGTATAGCGGTAACAATACGCAGGCACATATAACTTAAACTGCACAAGATAGGATGTCAGGACATTCTACGCCTTCAGCGTGATGCCAGAGCCTCTGGGCGCCAGTGAGGAGCTCTCCATTTTGATGAATTAAGACGTAACCTTTGGGTCGTGCTAAAACGTAACTAAGACGAACTAAGACGAACATCCCAATAAGCAAGGTAATGAGAGGCATACGTGATAACTTAATCCTTGCTTGCCAGATATGTTCGGAATCGCCCGAACAAGCCACGCTAGCTTAAATACAATCTTATCGCCATCCTGGCTGGGCTTTAAAACCCCATACCAGGGTCCTTCAAACACAACTACTTGCCTCGTAAGCGTGCTTGTCTGTCTGCAGCAGCAGGCTCTTGACTGCCACATGTAACCCCCGCCACACGGCACGGTACACCACACCCTGCGCTCCCCGACCAAGCTCGCCAATGATGGTTAGTTGCTTATCCAAAACATTGTCCCCGAGCACCCGGCCAAATTGAGATGCAAAGCTCGATGATCCATCCATTTCGGTCGAGCTCTGTATCGCCGGCAGCATCTGGGGACTTTCCTGCTTCCCAGCGTGGTCCCCCGTGGCGCCATCCGCTCTCCATCCCTGAACCGCTACAGTCGGGCCGGTAGGGACATTCATAACACGTGCTGAGCTGTTCCCGAGCCCATGATCGCAACTGGGGACAGGAAGCTCATTCTGCTGACTGCTGCCACCCTTGACAGTCTCCACAGTCTTGTTGAAGTCTTTGTACAAGCCAATATAAAAATCCTTGATGACTGGTCTCACTTGTTCAGCAAGCCTCCTTGGTGACTCAGCATTCCTGTTGACGGTTGCCTCGCTTGCGTTGGGGTTGAGGGCATCATCCTGCTTTGGAGCGGGTGCTAAGTCAAAACGACAACAGATGAGAATACCTGGCACACTGGCAGGCAGTGATGTGGTGAAGAATCTGATAGCTCTACTAACACGAGTGCTGATGTTGCCAAATGTACTACTGGTTGAACCCTTCACACTGTACACACTTCCACCAGCTGGCTGCTGTTGTCCCTTTGTAGGTAGACCCAGCTGCTTGTTCAGCAGCTGGGTCTGTGCAGCCTTCTTACGGTAATGCCACAATAGCAGCCCGGACACGACTGCTGCCAGGCAGACACCACCTGCCACAATACCTGCGATAAGAGGAACTGTTGTACTACCATGGCCACCTCTGGCGACTACTGCTGCGGTCGCCTCGTGTGGGGGAACCTGCGCCATGGCTGGGGCGGGCTGGGGCTGCGATTCTGCAAGGACTGGTAACCGATCCAGGTACGAAACATGAAGCTGCTCTGGTGGACTACGCCTGAATAGCTGGCCTGGCGGCATGGGTGATGTTGGAACTGGTCGAGATGCAGAAATTTTGGGTGAGGTAGCCGATGCAGGCTGCCGGCTCCAGGAGAGGGGATAGGTGAAGGACAGGTTGTGTTGTGGGGCCCAAAACATGTTTTGCAGGGCTTCAATTGTCAATGCTGACAGTTCCGAGGTGGTGAGGGTGACGTTGCGGCCCTCCAGGCCACACCACCAAAACCGATCAAAGGTGAGGCTGGTGACGGTGCCTTCCCTGAGTCCTGCCGATGCTGCAGGCAACAAACCTGCAACAGCTGCAGCTGACTCTGCAGCCAGACTGGAACCCCTGAGCATCCTGCTAAGCTGGTCTTCCAGGCCAGGTGCGTTCGCCGCTACCTCCGTGGAGTTGGTGACCCAGATCCAGATGAACACGTCTAGCTCCGCTTGGGGAATCAGAATGCTGACAGTGTCCAGGAAGACATAGGGCAGACCCACGGGTCGGACTTTATCAAGAGTCGGCATGGCGGCAGCAGCAGCATCCTCATCCAGCGAATGAATATACAGGAAGTCATATCTTGCCTGGGCAGCACGCCTGTCAAAGTCCAGGGTCCAAAGGCACGAGGTAAAATTTGTCATGGCAGTGTCCAGGCCCTGAGTTGCAGAAATTGCCGAGGATCCTATTGCTTCAACTGCTGTTGCCTCTGCTGACAGCTCCATTCGTTGCTGACCCTGCAATACACGATGCCAGTCACTTGCAGGACCAGTATCATCATTCTCGACATCCTCATCACCCATTCGCTCATAGCCAGTGGTGCTGTACCCCATGGGCTGCTGGGTGAGATCACCATTACTGACAGAAGTGCCATCAGCAGACCCTACTGACGTAGACCACCTGCTGAGCCGCCTCCCAGATAGCTGCTGAGCTGGAAATGGGGCCGACGACGTTTGTGGCTGTGGAACCCCATTTGATGCAGCAGACCATGGGGTTTTGGTGTTTACAAACTGAGGATATTGTCCAGCTGGAGGCACATCAACAAACAAAAACCCCCGAATTGTGAGTGAGGCATTAGTGGCAACGGAGGTGTTGGCGATAACAATTGCCTTAGCCAGGGAAGAAACAGCAAAAACAATTGCTGGGCTGCCAAAGGAGCCCATGAATGTGCAGGGGCCTCTTATAACTGCCGGCTGATTATTGTTGTTATCTGGCTTGACGAGGATTGAAGCATTAAATTTAAACGTCCAAATGCTGAATGGCACCCTACTCAGCGAACTCTGATAGTTATTGAACTGGTCAGGATAACCGAAGTCAAATGTTAAGGATTTCCACAGCTCCACTGTCGACCCACATACACCCTCTGGGGCATAGAGGCACACTGAGGGACGTAAAGGAACCATGCTACCGCTTCCATTAGGACATCTACTGGCCATGCTGCTATTGCTGCTGCTAGTTGAGGATAACGTGGTCTTCATCACCGGCGGGCTTGTTGCACGAGGGCCAGGCGTGTTTGGGACAGTATTGCTGGGCTGCTGCAGAACATCCTCCCCACTTGGAGAGGTTAAGAGGCTGTGGACGTTGTAGCCTTTTGGGCTAAAGGCATTGGGAGTATCAGCTGCTATCCTGCAGCACCAAGGCCCATTGTTGTCGAGCACTAACAGCACATCCTCAAAGGAAACCGTACCAGTCAGGGTCTTCCCAGACGTAAGAAGCAAAGCCGGCCCTTGGCCATCCGCCTCCACAGCCTCTGCCTGTTCAGTCAGTCAAGCGAATAGCGCGAATTATAAGCAAGGAGGTCAGGCAAGGCCGTTTCTTTAGTATGTATACTCGAAGGCAAGACAACAGAACATATGCATCTCTGCTGTCATTCAGCCCATACGCACATACACAAGTATTTACACCTATTAAAGCCGAAGTTCATGCTGGCAGAAGCTGAAGCAAACGCTCATGGAAACGGAGAAATCAAGCACCGACGACTCCGTTCTGTGTGGGCAGCTGCGTGGTCGCTCATATGCATAAAGGGAGCGTGTCAACGAACTCCAAATCCGGCTTTCATTTATCCATTCTGAATGACAAACCGCACGGCCAATCCAACGGAAACCAAAAGCGCACACCGACGGACCTGAAAGGTCGAGAATATGAAGTCACTTGTGCCCTTGGCACACAGATCGTTCTTCAGTTCTTCTGGAAGAGCTGCCTCTCCTACGGCGTCTGCAAACATGAGTGCCAGCTCCTCCCGGGGAAGCTCCACCACCACATCGGACAGCATCAGGATTTTACGCCTAGCGCCCAAGAGAAAGCGTTCAACCAGCATGAATGTCCAGATGGGCAACCGCAAAAGCCTGCTAGTTATGCCAGACACAGGGCCCAACGGCAGGTCCCGCAGCACCAGGTTGCGCAGCTGAATGGATGAGGTGCCCCCCACCATGATTAAGCTAGTCACGCCAGCAAGGTTTAGTATTGTCGCGCTCCCAAGATCGCGAGAGCTCCCAGCAAGAATAAAGCTAGCTGTCTCCAAGCTGATGGCAGGAGCGACCTGCAGAGGGTCGCTGTTTGCTGCTGCAGGAATAGGGCCGAGCGTAGTGTTTCGAGTTAGGTACAGGTATATCGGAACATTGGCCTGTTGTTGTGTAGAGCTGGTTAGGAATGCGCTGACCATCTTCATCAGGGCATCCATCTCTGCCATCACCTGTAGCAGCTCCGTGCCGTTCGCCACGCCTCTGGCCAAGCAGGGAAAAGGAACGGGTTTGCCTGAGCATGTGAGCGTTACATTGCTGATGACGGCGGTGGGCGTGGAAAACTCATGGACGACGAGAGCTGAGGGTGTGATGGTGAAGTTCGGCGAGGGTGAGGCAGCGCAGGCAACGGCCTGATGCAGCGCCAGTGCGCTACAGGAGGGTGTGGTGATGAGCAGGTCGGACAGCAGCAAAGGCGGAGGTGACTGAGGATAAGGTGGAGATCGACCAGGGGACTGGGTATCATTGCTGCTTCCATCACCGCCACTACTGCCTCCGTTTACTGCGATTGATGAGGATGACACAGTTGCACTCAAGTTGAATGCAGACAGGGCAAGGAAGGAGGAGGCGGGCAGCGGATATGGTGAGGTGGGCAGGAGGGCGCCCGTGATGAGCAAGTTGCGGAGAGCCACTTGGCCATTGGGTGGCAGCTCGAAGATGTTGGATAACGAAGCCAGGTCTAGGCTGGTGCAGGGGGCTGGCTGCAGCAGCTGCTGATTCCCGGCTGAGCTGCTGTCCGCGGCATTGTCTCCGTTCCATATTACCGAACCAGAAGAAGGCGACAACGGCGACCGCGGACACGAAACATCAGTTTGACCTTGCAACCTCGTTCGTGCTGCTAGCTTTGCTGATGGCCCGTTGCACATACGATTGTCTCCAGTGAGTACGCAGTATATGTTGCTCAAGCCGGCGTCAGATGTCCCAGGAAGCGAGCAATGGCCTCCTTCCAGGAGAGCACGCGGCTGCCATACAGCAGTGTCACTTGTGGACAACAGTGCCAGCGATAAGGACGACCAGCATATAAGTATTTGATAAAGAAGGCTGACCTCTGAGGTCAATTTTCGGCAGCATCGGCTGCCGTTGCCGCCATACGTTCCAAAACCTCGGACGACAAATGACATTTGCTTTTAATGCTTTAATTGCAGTAACCACTGCCGCAGATATCGCAAGTGCTGCTACGTTACAAAAAAGTTGAACGAGGCAACTCATTGGAAATCACATCGCAACAACAAACATGCGATTCAGTTAAACTGAGATACTATAGCAGCTCTTGGTTCCTGGTGTGTCACAATTAGCCTTTGGCCTGGTTTCGCTCCAGTCCTGCCTCATGCGCTTGCCATACCGGTACACACTATTAGTCACTACTTTTCCGCCGTTTCTGGCGGCGCAAACTCCGCGACCACGAGGTGTTTGGCACGTCGGGTAAAGTTTTATGAAGTAACCACGCAGGTCTGAGACTAATCCTGGTCATCGTTCGTACAGCACCGGTACGTCCTTACGGTGCCCGTGACATTTCGTGGTTGAATGAGGTTTTCCCCAAATTGTGGCATGATTATAGGCTATTTCCATTAGTAGGCATCACCAATTCTTATTCTATAACACATAGGGCCGGCTTTCATGAGCCTGGTAGCGTCCTCTAGATAGGGTAAGATGCACCTTACTAAATGTTGGCTAACTGTCGCGTGCTTCTATGGTAGCTCAGTTATTCGGCATTTTCCATGGCCTGTTTGCTTCGTTTATCATAATACAAGAATACATACTTTGGTTTAACCAGGGACGGAACGTGGAAAGAGATGGCCGTAGAAGATACCCGCCGCTGTCGCTTCTGTGTGCGTTGCATTTGCGCGTCTAATCAAAGCGGCAAATGCAATTTTTCTGAAGAGCTATCATCCTGAACTGTTCAATTGGATAACTCGATCTTGCGAACTTTCCACTCAGGGGGTAAGTTCACCGTGCACCGAATCAAAACTGAGTAAAGCATCGAAGTTATCACAATTTGATTATACCTAAATGATATTTAAATTTTGCTTACTATGCAGAATTGACGCGACCCTGACTACCGACTAACTGTGGCGGGCAGAAGACGGGCCCACTTTGATGCGGGCTATGCGAAGCTTGAGCCGGGTTAGCTAAGGCGTAGGGCCTTACGGCCGTTTTAAGTGGTACGACTTGAGGCCGGCGATCCGTGTCCTCAGGATCGTCTTTTGCATAAATAGCGCGTGTTGCAGGTTTTCTGTATCTTGTTTTTGTTGTTCAGCACGCGCTGAACAACGAGGCAGGTCCCGCGCCTTCGGCGCGCTTTCTGTTTTTTCCGCTGTGCTTTCAGCTCTTCAGCAAGACCCATCGGGTAGAGTGCCCTGATTGAAGGAGCACCATTATCGCTCCGTCGTCATCGTCTTGAAGATCATGGCAACCGTAGCAGTATCCGTCCAAGCCGTTTTAGCGGTTTTTGTCGTTTTCTGCGGCGTTGCTGGCGCCATGATGCCGGGCCAATATGGTTCCCAGCCCCCTTCCCCATATATGCAAGGTCTGCTGGGTGGCGGCGCTACGCCGCTAGGAGGCGGAATGGCGCCCAGCGCGGTACCGAGAGCGGCAACTATGTCTGGTGCGGCGGTTGCTGGGCCGGACATCGCTGCAATGTTACTCCAGATGCAACAAGACCTGGCCGGGGTCCGCGCGCGCCTAAATAGTCAAGGTGCGACCTCGGGTCCGGAATACGATTTGCGCGCGCTGACGGAGGATTTTGCGTCGCCTCAAGTGCAGCGCTCTCCAGCCGGGTCGCGGTTTCCGTTTCCCGACTATGTTCTGCACAATTTGCCGGGAACCATGACGGTGGATAATCTGGTTTTGCATAATTTTCGGGCAATTCCTGAGTGGCAGGAGTTAGAGCACTCGCAGAGGGGTCATCCTGATCGTGCGGGCTCGTTAGTTTATGAGTTTAGCATTCTGATTACTTTGCTTGGCGTCTTGGAGATGGTGCGGTCCGGTTTGACTATGATTCGCCGCTTTTTCGGATATTCAAATTTACCTCAAGAGTGGGTTGTCGCCCTGACCTGCGCCTCTGATACCTTGCTGTATGATGTGGCTTGGATGCATAACCTTATTTCGGCCCGTATCAATTGTTTGGTGGAATTTAGCCGTAGGGGCCGTGATGGCCTCGTTGCCCTGCACCAGCGTTACTTTGCGCCTTCGGAGCGGCCGCTGGTGGATGCTGTTACCCGTGAGTTTGACGAGGAGTATGCTAAGCAGCGGGCAAAAGTGACTCTTAAGGTCCTGGCAGAAAGGGAGGCCCGTAGGCATCAGGGCAATGGCGGTCTGTTTCAGGCCCCAGGTCGGGGCCAGGGTGGTGGCCTGCGCCGGGGTCGTGGAGGTGGCCGGGGCGGTTTTCCGCCTGCTCGTGCTGTTGCGGCAGCTGGTAGCGCCCAACCCCCGGTGGGTTCGGGCCAGGCCCACTAAAACATGTCGTCGCATTCCGCTGCACCCCTGCATGCACGCGTCACCTCGCGGTTGGCTGCTTGGAAAGCCA